AAAAACATCGGATTGAGGCGCAGGCGAGGTCAGTGTATAAATACAGCCAGTGTGCGTCCTTACAGCACAGTTAGGTCGCAGGTGTCCTGCAGAGATTGATATGACCGAAAAATGGGGTTTGGCGAAGTGCAGGCAAGAGGTCATGGCTACCTCAGGTTCAAAGCCATATCCACAGGAGCAGCAAATTAATAGGTCTACCTCATCCTTCACCCCTTCCAAAGACTTTCGCGTTCGGGATTTGCCAGTCACAGATAGACACTTCATCCACAAAATTCCGCTACGAAATGCTATTTCTTATGGAGTATTTTAAAACTCAACTTAGCACTAAAGTCATTTATTTTTAATTGAATTGTCTTTTAACAAAACATTACCACAATTTTATCATTCTGTAATTGAGTCCATTTTAGCTATTCAGATTGGCAAATAATGGTAAACAATGAAACACTAAAAATCTCATAGCTCAGTTAAATGACTTCGTCGGGTTACTTTGTTGATGAAAACATTACTGACCTTGTGCACTGATGAAATAAATAATGTCACCATTTTACGAAATCTTACTGAAAGCAGTATAATGCCAGTGGCCCCTTCAACCGAATTTTCGGCCCTAAGTAAACGTAATTTATTATCAAATCGCTCTGCTCCAAACTCATAGCTATCGGTTGATGCTCAGCATTACTATGAGTTTTGAAACAAACACATTATCAGCATATTTTTTAGCGAAACCAAATGATTGGATGGCAAATTGAATGTAGGAAACAGAACGGGTTGGCAGTGTCATGATTCAGCTAAGTGCTTTCCTGAAATAAATTACGAGGGCATTCGCGCAGCCATTTTTCCTTTGCATACTGCTTCGTTTATTATAATTCGCCTCCTATTTTTTTGTTGGATTTTACATTGCTTTTGGAAAATATTCAGTTTAACCACTGCCATTCTTATTTCCTATTTACCCATATTCGGGCGCAGCTTTATTCATTGGTTATGAATTATTCTAAGCATAGAGTTCCGAGACTTCATTGAAGGCGAAGGAAAACAAAAAACCTGGGTGGACTGTGTAATATCAACGTGCAGAAGGCCAGCGGAAGTACAAAGGTGGAGCCCCCAAGTGACCCGCTAGCAAAGCTATGAGTTAAACAAATAATTAACGGGTTACCTAGGTAACGCAAGTTGTTGTAGCTGGTTTATAACTACTTTTTTTACAAGAAGTACTCGAAAAATCTCATTTGTAAGTTGTTTGCTTACCTAAGGATAGTTGAACGGAGCTGTAGACGCAATCAAATTCCTATTGCAGTTTTATTTCCACTTCTGCGTTGGTCCTACCCTAGTGCAAGACATGTTTGAGATCTGTGTGCTAATTTGTAAATTGTGGTCTCACAGGAAAGACGGGGATTGAGTGAATCAAGTGGTCTGTCTTGCACTGCAGTATTTCTGCGAACGCATTTAAGGCTGCAGTTAGCTACTAGGCTGAAAGTTGTACAATAGCGTATTGAAAACGACATTATATATTTCCAATTGCATTAATGCTTATGATTTCAGAACTAAAAATATTGCAGTTATTTAGAACTTTCTCTATCTAGATAATATTCAGTTTGCTTTAATTCTCTTGGTAGCGTACTCAATGCAGTCTCTGAATGGGAGAAAGTCTTTTCTAAAGTGAGTAAACATCTTTAGAAACAACTCCATAAGTTACTAGCCCTCCAGTAAATAGGGAGTAAAAGACATTTTGTAACAAGGCTTCAGAAAAGGAGTGGTCAGAATGTGGATTTTTGACTTTATCCAACTGTTATGTCATGTGACGGTAAGTCTGTTTCGCCAATAAGGGTGGCGATCTATTACGAAGCCTAGGCAACATTAGTCTAAAAATAGGGGAATTTTTATTTACTTTTCTTCGTTGTTAAGTTATTGTCGTTTGGCCAGCTCATCACTTTTGCAAAAGGGCTTTAGAATATTTCGTTATTCCGCTGAAAATGAGTGCAGTGAGAAATCTCCCCACTGATGTGTGCAGTCAGTTGTATCTGTTCACGATGCGTGTCGAGCAGTCTTAAAAACCTGTTTCGCTTTTCATTGGATTTGATAAAATGTGTTAAATGTCCCTGTCTCTTATTCAGGCAATTTTTATTTTAGTAAAAAAAGCTGGACTGACTGCTGATATTTTCAATCACAAGTAGGCATTAGCGCCTACCATTTACATCAATAAGATCATTAAAATTTTCGTGATATCTCAAATTCAGTCTAGGAATGGGGTAGTACCGAGTGTAGTCCTCCCTCAACAGTAATTGCATTTCCTGCAGCGAATTTGTAGAGCTCTTAGCTCCCTACAACGCGGCCAAAAGAGTTCTTGGGCATTGAAAGACATGTGAGTTTATTACTTAGGAAAATAGGATAATAGCAGTTTTTTTCATTTGGCACAAAGAATCATCCCATATTAATCAGTCAAAAACTTCGCAATGGATCTAAACCTCGCTTTAGCGATCTGCGCAAAATGTGCCACAGCGAATGGTGAAATTAGTCCCTACGGATATTTGTGCAATGCACTGCTTCACAAATTTCAGTTCAAAACTTTATCCGGTATTTATTTTATCCCCTTGATCAAGGAAAAGCAGATGGAAAAACAGACACTAAGATTGGGAATAAATCTTTAAATACTTTTTAGAATTTACAGCCTGTACCTGACGCACACGTAGTCACTTTGACAAATCCCCGCGCCTTTGATTCTACCTATGGAACCTATGAATTATTTGTTTATTAAGACGGCATTGTTTCGCCTAAGGTGTGATACGTATTACAGTAATTTTCATCCCCTTTGATATTATGTGAATGACTAACTATGACAGCGTCCTTTGGTTTCAGAGATGCCATTACACTGTAATCATTGCACCACTTTTAATCGCAGTGGTATCCACAATTTTTTCACAGTCAAAAGGTTTTAAAGAAATGCAACAATGGGGTGACAATAATCAGTTGCACATATATGCACTTTCATAAATCCAACTTTGATCTATTTATCTCGTTTTAAAGCCTCCTGAATATCTCGGATATACCTGAAACTCAGATGTATTGCAATAGTAAAAGCAATAAGGTAAATCCACAACAATGTATGACAGAAGAATTTCTGTATACTCGAGTATAATAAATATGGAGCAAGAAAGCAGTCAGTTTCTTCGTTTGCATATTTTACTAGCTTCCGTCTGTCTCTCAAGTAACTCTAATTATGTTGGAACTGAAGGTGCTGAGAAGGATACAACAGACTCAAATGGGGTAACAATGTGCCAAGTATCTCAATGATAGCAGCAAAACTACATGTGCATTCATTTCTCCCCTAGGATGTTACTGTTTTGTGACATTAATGATGGAATAGTAATTCCAACATCTTTCTCAACATTCCAAAGTTTTATTATCGCAGATACAGAGTCACACTGTTAGGCCCCCTTCTAAAGTTGCTTTTACCGGTTCTGAACGGTTAATCTTGCGTGATTTTCCGCGGATTTTAGCAAACTCGATGGTAGAAGAAATGTTTGGCTTGGGTGCCAAATCTGATGGCGGGGTTGTGTGAAACAAACATCCACAAAATAAGCTTACGGGGTTAATTCTACAAATCATTCTGCGAATGTGCATCGCATTTGTCTGCCTCAGCATACAATAGTGATTGCCGAATGTACTTTAGCACACCGTGAATAAAAGTCCTTTTAGGGGGGTTCATCTCGCCGCTTACGACACGATTGCTCATTTGAAACTATAGGATCTGCTCACTAATTCAGCTCACATTACCAAAGTCTTGATAATGTGAAAAATGTGAAGCATTCGACGCTTTGCCGTGTGAAATGCCTCTTCTTAAATGCAGCTGGTGTTTGTGCTGCAAAAGGTGGTGTTAATAAAATGAAATCATATATAGGGATAACAGCAATATTTTGCACAAACCGGACTTTCATTTGGTGATTGCCTACATGGCATATATTACTATACTTGAAGCAATTTTCCCAAAGGAGGTGGTGTACCAAATAGGAATCATGTACTTTTGAAATAAGATTTGCCAAAGGTGAAATCCAAAAAAAAAAGTTGTTTCGAATGTCAAGCGTTCCTTTTCTCATCTTATAAACGCAAGAATTGTGCTTTGAGGCTCTTTCAGAGTTGACTCTGATGAGGGTAAACTTGTCTTTTGTGCCTGTGATGTTTGTGGATAATTTTAGCTCTCTTGTCTAATTCGTAGTAGTTCAGCTTATTCAATTTATTTATTCCTGTCAAGTACTTTTAACACTTAGGATTAATTAGAGGAACTGATTTTCGGAGTATAATCCCAGTACCTACTATGGGTGTGGCAGGGTCTCCTGGCTAAAATTTTCCCTTGTCTGTCTGTGAGGGTCCAATGAGAACTTTTGGAAGAATTAATTTCTCAAGGGCTAAGGCGGTGACAATTGTGACTGTTATCATTTGCAGCTTATGCAATAGTTGTCAGTGTGTTTGAATTGTTCATCTGATATCCGTAGAGAAGAAACCGCCAAATCTTCCCGGCAAAGTTCAATTTTAGTGGACTTGGTAATAAGTAGACCTGTTGTAAGTTAGTGATCGCTCACCGTGCTAGCACTTTCCGACGTCCGGTTACGATTAGTCAAAAAAAGCTACAGATCAAACTTGCTTCCGGAAAATGCCAGGTCGTGGAGTTCAAGGTTTTTTTCCACCTCGACAAACCTTTATGTCTTGCAATCACTTTGGTTTCTCCTTCACCGATCGAAATCAGATTACTATTTTACTAGAACACATATTTTAAATAACTAAACCGCTCCCCATTCAGTCTGTAATCCACTAACATTAAATTTGCAGTTGAGCCCATCTTTTCTGTGTATTCATGCAATATTACAGCTTTCGGCATGGTTTAGCTGCAATCAAGCTGTCAATGTCCATTCCACCTCTGGGGTAGACATTTTTTAATTGGGTATTTCAAAGCACCGGCTTTCCTCGATATTGGAGGTAAATGACTAGTCAAAATGAATGACACTTTTCTTTAGCTATGAAATCGCTGCGACTATAACAAGGACTTCGTTGCTGGGGTTAAGAAATTGACCCTGAATTGAATCCATCTGCAACAGACAGCGTCGAATTCCGTTAAGTGCTCTAGGACAATGATTAGCATTTAAAGCTATTGTTGAAACTAATCAACTTCAGTTTGTATCATGGTAATTGTTTTTGCGAGAGGATTACCAAGGTCCTCGATGGTATACTTTTTTTGGGGATGTTTCTTTTTAAAACTTAACGTCTTTATTGTTGTGCAGCAAGACTGAGAAAAGTCATGTCTGAGTTGGTAGTGGAGTAAATATCCTTTTGACAGTTGAAAAGTTCTCAACATTAATCTCTATCAAAACAAACATGGCATTCGTGAATTCCATAAAACACTTTCTACTAATCGAGTATTCTAAAGATAACTTAGACGTTCCTGATTTTGGTCTCACAATGAATGAATGGGATTCTGTAGGCTTGGCTAACGACATGCACTTTTTGAAGCAAATATTCTGCTAAATTATAGCGCTATTTATGATTAAAATATATTAAAAATGGCGCATTTAAAAAACTCAAAATACATCCCAGCGTGAGGGGCTTGTCTATAGGTTGGTTAATCAAGATCCATCACTTCATCAAACCATTCGAAAGTTTCATCTATGGCATTTGAAATCTGTATCATTTTTGAGTTTACCACCTAGGTTTTCCGAAGCTGAGGATGCATATTGTTTTCTACTGTTCAATTTTAAGTTGGAAATGTCAAAGTTCTGTGAGTCTTGACGAAGTTTTACACAAAGTGTACATTGGTTGACCAACTTTCCTTTACTTTGGAATAACTGTCTGGTTTAGACTGTTTGTGTTTTCTATCAAAAAACATAGTCAGAGTTGGGACCTATTACCCCGTATCTTATAATTTAGTGGGATGTTACGCCCATCACAAATGCAGGCCTCGATTTTACCTGTGGAGCCATAAAAAATTAGAGCTGGAGGTTCCTTGGGAAGACTACTCTTGCTCAATGGTTTCGTAGCGCCCGCGATAGCGCACAGGCTGCCGCACATGCGATGTCTTCACGATGTCCAGGTGCAGAGATCCCCGGCCCAACAAGGCCTTTGCCATGCAGGTTGAACACCTTAGACACGGCTTAGTACTCACCTGGCTTCGATATCCAGATCGCCTTCTAGCACGGAGTAAGCAAAATTTTAGGCAGAAAGAGCAGCATAATAAAAGTATTCAGCCACTTGTATTTTCTGGGCTATTCTAAAGCCTTGTACCATGGATTTTCGAAGATTATAATACCAAAACCTACAACGTCTGGATAGCATTGGGAAAACAACATTTTCATTAGGTCAGATGGTCGCATGTCCCAGTCAAACGAATGGAAACGATAACCCAGCGTATCCGCTCACCCACTTATTTTCAAATAAAATAGGAAATATGGGCTGGAAAGTGTCATTGTTTGCATAGGTTCCGCCTTTTAAAAGCCGAATTGTAGTCTTCAATTTATCAAAATCACTCGCTAGAAAAAATTGCGGCCATTTACGTCTGTATATAAAAAGTCTATATTTCCTAAACATGCTTAGTAACAAAGAGAGGCGTAGTCAATTCTTAGTTTATCATTTTGTGGTACTTGGTTTTATGTTGCTTGATTTACTCATTTTGTAATACGTTTGAATCCATCAGTAATTATTAACTCAACATCAACAACTTTCCACCTTGAACGGTAGTGCCTAATTTAAGTTGGTGTGTTGCTCTACAATGCGCTTTCTAGTCAGTCGGATTAGTCTGACGTTCATGCTATGGGTCTCAGTCGCTTTAAACCTATTTTATGGGGTTATTTTGTGGAATTCTTTTTATCCTAATACGAATGACGGATCATTATTCCGTTGCAAGATGGTTTCTTTGCGAAATTCTAGTGACTCTCCCGTGCCAACAATCTACATTCTTACTGCAACACACTATCGTTTAGTTCAATTTGCTGAACTAACACGTATGTGTCAGACACTTTTGCACATTAAAAATGTTCATTGGGTTGTTATAGAGGACGCTGCTGCTCCTTCAGCGTATGTATAATTTGACTTTTATGGAGTCACCTCCAAATATTCATTGATTTTATTCGTCTGTTTTGTTTTCTGCCTTTTAGGAGACTTGAAAACTTCCTCAACAGATGCGGGGTGTCCTTTACCTTGCTTGCTACGAAGACACCTTCTGAGCAGGTCCTCCCTCCCGGCCAACCGCGGTGGCGGTATGCCCGCGGTGTTGTTCAGCGCAATCGTGGGCTACAGTGGCTTCGTGAAAACTTCAAACTGGGTCAAAATGAGGGCGTGGTCTACATGGCTGATGACGACAATACCTATTCCCTTCGTCTTTTTGATGAGGTGCCTTCTTTATTTTTTTCCGTTAAACCTCTAATGCTATGGAGACACATGAAATCGGTGTTTATATTCGGAGTTTTGTGGACTAGAGCTTTATCCCGTATGACTTTTTTCATGCCAACTCCTGTAACTTAATGTACATTTCTCAATCTAGCACATTGAGGTATCAATAGCACTTTATCGGTCTTTGTGAGCCTTGACAGTGTTTGCCTTGGGATTAATATATTTTGAGGCGCGTCACTCTTTTTGATGTGGACTTTTATGCCTAAGCTTTGTCGTTAAATGTTTTTTCCCACTTTGTTACTTTTTACAGCATCGTTTTTATTCTGGAAATTCAGGCGTCCCACTTTATTGTCTGCCGCCAATCGTGACGGTTTTTTCTTTGGGTCTAATTTATTTTGCCGCACACTTGTCGTCTTTCTTTTTCAATTTTTCGGCTTACATCTAACATTCAATATTATTGCTGCCGAATTTTTTTTTCCGGATTTACCTTCATTTTCGTTTGGGCTATTTCAGCTCAAAAATTAGTACTGGTATTACTTGATTTAACAACCCTTGGGTCCTTATTAACTTTTACTATACTCCTTTTCCATTTGAATTACTAATATATCAGTGTATTTGCGCCATCATTTGTTATTTGAGATGCTAATGTTACAATTCCTGTACAGAGTAAATGCAATTTACTAAAATGTCATTAGTAAGATTATGTGAATTACAGATCCGCACAACGAAACGGGCTTCCACGTGGCCCGTAGCTTTCGTCGGTAGACTAATCTGGGAGGGCTGTGTCACAAAGCCGGGTCATCCCGATATTATCTATCGCATGCAGACCATCTTCAAGCCCTGGCGCGAATTCCCCATCGATATGGCTGGATTCGCCGTCAATCTTCAGCTGATTCTCTCGCATCCCGATGCAAAATTTGTCGCTGACCCCAAGCTCTACGGTATGCTGGAAACGGATTTTTTGAAAAAGCTAGGTCTCCGAAATTTCACTGATCTTGAGCCCAAAGCTGATGGCTGCAAACGCGTATGTCTGCAATTACCCATAACTGTCTTATTTTGTTCCTTGTCTTCTTGACAAAGTAATTTTGGGATTTATAAGGTCATGCAGAAAATCCCCCTTTCTAATTTTTCAACACCAGATCTGCCGTACACGTCGTGTGTGCTTTTTTATTTCCATCTCATTCATTCTTTCGATAAACTAAAGGTCTCTTTCATGGCCAAAATCACAATACTGTCTTGGGCTTCCCAATTGGGAGAATTTCCAGTCAAAGGAGGCACCTGATTAGAAGTAATTGGTACTGTCACCTCAGGTTTTATTTACATCAGTCTGGTACATCGTTGCCGGGTTCCTCCAGTGATTGTAGTGTTGAGCTCATTTACATTATTAAGATTTTTTTCGCATCGCAAATATTTCTCTATTCGTCATATGCCGTCAATATGAACAAACTATCAGAGCTGTCTTATCTATTCGCGCTTCATTCACACTTCACAAAAGCCTAGAGGAAATTTTCCTGAGTAAGCGAGGCACTGGTTAGCTAAACCACCTACAGTATCTCCCTACCACTGTGCTTGTACTTTGTAATCGGCAGTTTGGTTGTTAATTTCATGCATCTGATTTAAAGTTCGTAGACAAAACACAACGCCTAACAAAATGGGGTCTTTTGCGATTGTAAACACATTAATCTAGGGTGCGAGATTGCGAGTTGCGCTCACAGGCTCAAACTGACGGAATTTTTGCATAAAAATTAGTAGATAAATAAATCCCCCGATCATTTCGATAAAAAAGGAGTTTTGAGGCTATAATTTTGTTTGGTTTCCTTGGCTTGTGCTGTCTGTGTTCCTATAATCCACTTCGCCTTTGGAAGTCTTAGCGCTTTCTGCTGCGTCTTATTTACCTAAGCTAATTGAATTGGTTTAGTTTTTATCACTAGGTGGGTTAGCTGGCCATATTGGTTTCTCTCATATTTTAGAGCACCACGAATGGTGCCTATGTTGGGGCCTTATTTTTCACAATTGAATGGCGCTAATGGGAGGCAACCATAGTTTATAATATCATTTATATTGGCTGTGTCCATATGTTTCCCGTATAAAGTTTGCTCAATGTGATTGTTAGGACATTTTACATGGTCGTATAGAGTTTCATTTATTGGACTCGCAGTACTGTAGACGAGTAGGAGGTCGGAAGGGAGTGGGAAGGAGGCGAAAAAGTTAGTGGATCAGAACCTTTGAAGACGTCTTCGCATCAGTTTGACCTAACATATTGTACTAATCATCCAGATTCAATTATGATTCCGAAACAACTTCCCTTTTGGTTTGTCGCTGCTCTTTTAAATGTGATATTAAATTGCGCCATTCTGCTTGCTGTTGCTAACACGTTTCGTCCTGTATTTTGGTGCTTCTCACTAATGATGGGTTTTCGAGATGATCGGAAGATTGCGTTGTGTTGCAAAGTTGTGATCCGGGATTTCTCTCACACTTTATTTGACTGCTCTTACCATCTATCTCAGTCTGGTATTTCAATTCTTTTTCAACCATGTATTGTATAAGTCAGAATAGAGATTACTGACTCTGTCCACGCCTTAGCTAGATTGACCACCATTTGATAGACAGTTAGTCGACATCTGATTACAAGCATCTGCCTCTCCTTGCAGATTCTTGTGTGGCACACGCAAACAAAGGACCCGGATATCGTTGCCTTGGACAATATGAAAACCGGTTTTCAACCCACTATGCTACCCGGCGAGTTGTGACTTCAACCACGCCTAATCAGTTTCACCAGTACCGCTCCTATTCCTCTATCTCATTTTCCCCCTCCTCGCACATCGTATGCTGTTGTGCGTCCATCTGCACGCATTCCTCTCCGGTCAGCTGGCATTTACATTGTTGCGCCTCACCCACAATCAAACTCCTCCTGCATTTAAGCCAAGCACAATTTCTGGATTCGTCGGTGGTTTTATGGAACTATGCCAATCATTCAGAGTTGATTTTTGGTCTTTAAAATACTACCTTTTCTCAAGTGTTTTTTTACCAAATGAAGTTGCTACCATTTATTAACTTAGTTTTCGAATGAATTCATTGCAGTTCAGCTATGTGTGTGCAGAATTACGTAGTGTTCGTACCACTGCTTTAAACTGAGGACTAAAAGGTGGAGCTATTTGTTATTATGTTTGTTTTACTTAGCATTCAAGACAACACACGAAACCCCGCATTATCGTTATGCATCCATAAAGGTGGATCGACTCTCAAGCGGTTTTCCAGTCGAAACATTTAAACAAATTCCCATTGTCTTACCCTTTGATGAAGATGACTGTCGATATAGTTTTTAAGTACATGGTTAGTTGATTTGTGTGGCTGTTGATTGGTTAGGTCTTCATGGCATTTATTAACTTAGTTTTCTAACGAATTCATTGTAGTTCAGGTATGTGTGCGCAGGATTATGTAGTGATGGTACCACTACTTTAATCAAAACGAATCGGCCCAAGTTCTTTCGGCTTGCAGAGTTGGCGAACCTTTCATGCAAGGCCGGTGAGGGGTTTGGCTCTGTTTCGTTATCCTTGTTTTTGAAGACAATTTGCCGTGAGCGAAAAATCGACAATAACATGGAGAGAAGATTGCATTGTGTAGGATAACCATTCAAGACCAAATGAAATTGAGCTGCCAACCCCGACTATTTGCGTGGTGTTCTCCCTAAGTTTTCCTGTTACCATTAACCGATTGAATTTGGTGAGTAGCGCTAATAAGATTGCATAAAGCCACTCAATCAAAGACAAATTGAAAAAGGTGTCTTTCAGTTAAGAGTGACTTTTGATGAGTTCTGGTTATCGGTATTCATTCTAGAGTTTATCATTTCCTGAAACTCCTTGAGTCTCGTGGCTATGTGGACCAATACTAGCTTACCTGCATACTGCTTGTCTTTATTCCATGGCCTTACACAAACTTCATTAATTCATCCAACGAACATTGGTTGGTTAGCTGTGCTAAGAAGCCTTGCTCTTCTCCGTTTGGTTAGCATCTTTGTTTTATTTTAGCATCCATACTGTTTGCGTGCGTGGAAGACAAAAATGAGGTTTTCTTCGTTATCTTTTAGTTTCGAAATGACTATCCCACCAGCGATCATGGTGATCTATTCTCAATTGAATCCCTGTGGTACATGATCAGAGTCGATATCTTTTGCTTGTAATCAAAATTGGTTCATTGTCCATAACGTTAGCAATCTGCTTAATCCGCAGGAGTTTACGTTGGAAAACAAATAAAGCAGAATAAATAAACAAATGGAGCAGAAACTAATATTCGTGAAGCAAGCAATATTATTACGACCATACGTACAAAGAGCAGACTTACGCCGAATGTTTGACTGGATTTTCATATGAAATAGGCAGTGTAATTCAGCGTAAGCAACGGATCATAAGGCTGACGCGCGGTATCGAACTGAGGATCAAAAGGTGGAACTATTTGTTTTTATGTTTGTTTTACTTAGCATTCAAGACAACACACGAAAGCCCATATTCTCGTCATAAATCCATAAAGATGGATCAACTCTCAAGCGGTTTTCCAGTCGAAACATTTAAATTCCCATTGCCTCACCCTTTGATGAAGATGACTGTCGATACAGTTTTTAAGCGCATGGTTAGTTGATTTGTGTGGCTGTTGACTGGTTAGGTTTTCATGGCATTTTCAATCGCTTTGTGTCGGAATCCTCTAGTTGGGTGTGAATTGAAGCCATAAGTGCATTTAGTGAAAGTATGAAAGTTAAGGCAATCATTTTTTTTCTCCACTGAAGGAACATGTGACAGCGGAAAAGTTGGAATCCCCCATTGACTGGCAGATCCCAGATACTTAATTGCACATTTTAAAGAACAGTAGACACTCGCTTTGTTAGAAAAACCGTTTGCAGTAATAAACGCCGATATCAAATGTTCCCATAGAAATCTCATTAAGGCAACATTTTCTATTTCAAGTTGTTCCTACTCTTGTTCCAAGTTATTTTACACGTGACTTAATGTAAATTATTTGACAACAATCAGACAGCAAGCAACAACCTTTGCGAATGAACGCGATTTTGTCCTCCAGACTGGCATCAAATGTTATTTGTATGGTTTGCATTTTCTTCCTATTTATTCCGAAACAACTCTCCTTTTTATCAAGCTGGTAAAAAGTACAAAAGAAAATCCATTCGTTTTTGTCCAGAAAAACTCTTCATTGTTAACTTTTGGTAGCTGTGTAGGAGCTTAAGTATCCGGAATAATGACAACGCCAACCATAAAATGAACTCCGTGAATCCCCATTAATCACTCGCATTGTAAAGCGTAAACAAAAACACTGGTAAAATCGGAGACATTGACAAGACGTTGCGTGCTAGGGATTGTTTAAGTCTGATCACAAACATTTATGTGGGTTCGAGTTGTATAAGTTTAGTTTTGGATGAACTCCCATTGCAGTTTAAAGGTAAATCAAGGATAAGGCCTCTGTTTTCCTTTCTAGGTATTTCTAGGAGTCCTACTTGGGCTAATTAAAGCAAAAAAGTTTTAAGGCGATTTCTTGTAAAAATAGAGAATCAGTGAATAAACCACCACTCTTTTTAAACATGAAAAGCATCCTCCCGGTGGAGTATGTGCAACGATTTTAATTGAACAAACCGTTTTAATTTTCCATTTTTGGTTTTTAAAGCTGAATCGGTTCGCACTCAGAGCGTCAGCGAATTCAGAAAGGAATCATTTACCCTATTAAGTTAATTTAGTATTGAAGGCCAACTCCTTGCTTGTAGCACGTTATGTTTTAAGCTTCAAATCCTTAGAAGTTTTTGAATTTCAAGTGAAGCCACTCGTACCAGTTATTTTCTGATTTTGTTAATTATTTTTGAAGCTTAAAAAGCAAACCTATTGAAGAAAATGTTCATTTCTATTGATAACCTCCCAACAGTTGGCATATTCGGTTATGTATTAATGGTCCTAGTATAAGCAAAGTGAAATAGTAACAAAAAGTCGCAATCATCACAATGAAGTAATTAAGTGAATTCGATTTTACTCCTCTTTTATGCGGGGGTGTGTCTAGCATCAAATCCTAAGGTCACAGAACGAGTCAACGGCGGGACAGCAACTCTCAATTGGCACGCCGACCTCCCATCCCCCCACAGGCTGTTTACAAGCGGTCATCTTCAACATGAAGATATGTAATCACATTGGCACAAACGTGTGACCTCCTAGATGTCGCTAATGTCGAGGTGGGGCAAGTCTCGAAGCTATTTCGTCATGAGTGGACAGAAGGAATGGCCGGTCGGTAGAGCATTTGGTGCGAGCAGAGACCGTGTTAGTAGCCCACACAGACCAAATTGTGCAAGCGCCGCTGTACACGCCTGACGCTCAATTAACGCGTATTTGCCACTCTGGCCTTGTTTCCCACTTAGCTTTCTGCCGACACAAGGTTATTTAATAACAACACCCTTTACAACCAAACCTGTGGTCGTTTTAGCAAGCAAAAGAATCACTCCTCTTTGACTACCGAAACATCTTTAAAAAGCACCTAAAGAGGTAGCTGAATAATGAATGCTTTTAGTAGTGCTCCGAAATAGAAGCAGATAGGTGGCAAAGCTTCTTTGGCAAAATTCAAGAAAAAAAATCACACCACGATCTCATGGGAGCCATATGTCAGACGTTTATCAATTCGGCTCAATGAGGCTAGAAAGATCCATCTTGAACGTGCGTATGACCTGAGTACTGAACAGCATATCGTGAGATGCGTTTCACTTTCAGACGTTTGGTAAGTCCCGGGACCGTTTTAATGACACCGAGTATTGTTGAGCGGTGAATTCTTCCCAACTGTAGAAGGCCATTCGTTTACAAAGCAACCGAGATATGTGCAGTTTAGTTTTGTCCAAGGATATATGCATATGGGTAAATAAGTGCTTACGTACAGATGCATACACAGAGAGAATGCAGATAAGCTGAATTGGCACAAAGTAATGATCACAGCTTGTTGAAGTTACAAAAAAAGTAGCTATACGAAAGCAACGTCGCATGCACCATCGCCATCGTCAGCAGCAACAGTGACACAAACGACGACATTGTCTGCTGGGTGGGTAGAGGGCACAATACTGGGGACGGGTGTGGAACGCTCAAATGGGGGAGCGATGAAATCACAGTGAGAAGAGAGGAAAGAAAGGGGAATAAAGGGCGAAAAAAAAAACGAAGCATATTAAAATATTCGGGGGTAGAGAGGGGCTAGGCGAGATGCCGCTACTCATCTTTCTTCTTGTGGCAAGAGAATAAGTGTCTAGCCGTTCTTTGCTTACGCTGGTGTTGCTGTCATTGAGAACTCTAAAGAACGAGCTTACTAATTAAATAACCATCTCCTAAAATCTACCCACTCCCAAAAGCTACACTTCAATTCAAAATGACGCGTAAAGGAGGTAAAATCTTATAGGATTACCAAGTAATGATAGCAATAGTAATTTCTAAGCAATGACTTCAATACTTGTCTTCCAAAATAACCTTCAAAGGGGAGCGTTAATTGAACTAATGCGTTTCAATACAGATCCGCGTGTCGGCACAACAGAACGATGGGCTAAACATGCTAATTAGTACATCCGTTACATTCGAGTTGCATGACACTGATTGACAGTCTCACACTACTTTTCAGCTTCTAGTGGGTAATAACCCATAGCTGAGGGTGTTTACAGTTTTTCGTGGCTTACATTTACATAGAGACTGCTTGTCCGTAACGCTGGGAAGCAATAAAAAATACCAGACTGTTCCCTATTATGCAAACAAAAACTTTGTAACCACCTACGTAAAGAAAAAATTGGTGTATCTAGGCACTAAAAACCTGTGCATATCAGTAATAATTAAGAGTTGGTTTTAGCACACGCGCTAGATTTTGCTGTTAGCAGCAAGGCCTGGGAATTCTAATGTTGTTTATTTTTCCTGACCTTAATTTGTTCTCTAGCAGATAACCTAATCTGCATAATAAGGACGGCTAATCCGGAGTGATTGCTGTTATTATAAGCATATGCTTCTTACATTGGGAGTCGGAACCACATCACAAAACAATGCACAGTAAGCAGAAAAGTACATATACCACCAGAGAAACGGAGGCAAGTTTTAAACACTTTGGTTGTCCAATATACCTTTTTCCGAGTACCTACCTATAACCCGAAACCTAGTACTGGTTTCACAACCTTACATCTCCAGCCGTCATGTTGAAAGAGGGAAATTGGTGAGCAGCTTACGTCTCCAGGATAGGGTGATTCAGGGGGTCCGTAGATGCGCGAAAATTCAGGCATGCTGTTGATCGAGCCCCTGTGAACCCCGTAGGTGTAGAAATCCCACGAAGAAATGGGAGGAAAGGCATCGGAGTTGCCGGCTGAATTCGCATCGCCAGTCGCAGCGGAACCACCCACAGATGCTTCATCGTCGGCGTCCACAGGGTCGAGAATTCGATACTGGTAGGAAGGTGGTGCAGTGATGTCCGAATCCCTGACTATGCAGTACATGCCCCGCTTCGTGGCATCCTCGTAGGCGGGAAGAGTGGGCACTCCCCTGAATATCCTTGGTGGGCTAAAAAAATAAAACTGTATATCTTGCCCCTTGTCTTCCCTTTCTTCTCAACGGAGTAACTGCGCTTTTCTATTGGCAACTTCTTCGTCAGAATTAAGCAGAAATATGCACCTGAATAAAATCAGTAGTTTATTTTAGTGGTTAACATGTTCATTGTTAACTTCACACGTTTGACAGATTGATTGAGTTTAACTCCAGACCAGAAACATCCTGCATCGAAATGGTAATACACCTTTAATGGACTGAGCTGGGTGATTTACCCCTAAGACCCTAGCAGCGAATATGTTAAATGTACATTTACGATGCAATATCTTAAGCGCAACTCACTTCTTTTAATAGCAAAACACCTTAATTTTAGCATAGAACTTCTTTCTTAAAAAAGCAAAGCGAGAATACAGATTTTATTACGAGCGTATTTTCAGTGAACGGCGTAACATTCAAATGTATTGAATTTGAGACGACCAAGAAGAAAGATATGTACATCTAATGCAATCCAATTACTGTAAAAGAAAAATACGCAATTTGAACATAATCACAACAGCATGAGCGTCGAGAGTAAACCTGCGGAAGGCTGTGATCGGGGCAGGGAGGTGGACAAAGCGTGAGACAGATAACGCCGTCCATCCGCTACTCTCTAAAGTACAGCCACACAAGGGTGGAGTTAGCCACGTGCAACGCGCAAGGGCAGACATCCAAAGAACTGGACGTCTGTTTATGGGCAGAGGTAGGAGGGCACCGCAAGTTGGATCAGCTATCAGATACGTCACAAGTTGGTTTGCTTTTGCCTCCGCTAGTTACACGCAGTTAAAGCCGATTTACGTGGCTTATTACGATTGTGACATCCAAGCCATAGGACAATGACATGATGCCCAACATTACCCACGTGGAACCCTTTCGATGTACTTTAAAATTATCCCTACTGCCTCTGTACTTTTTCATCCAAAACCCTCATTAAATTGTAGGCAGCGCTGGTAGGAGCGGCAATGGGTAGGATTGCGTTGAGAGGACTCGGGTGGGTCTGCACCACGTAAAAATGCTTGCAAATTATGCATGTCTGCACGATGGCAACTGTTCAGAACCGAGCCGTGCATCGCCATTTCACACTCGACCTTGCCACAGCATTTGCATCTCACAGAGGCAGTCAGAAACGGTGGCATTTAATGGCTTTCGCTGTCCCACGTGAGGATGCGTATGCATGCGCCTACTTATGATGTAGAAGAATAGGAATGATCTACCAATCCGCCTACATTTAAATCGCTCAGTTAAATTTTCATCTTCCCACCAAAAGTAGCTCGCTGCAACAAAAGTATTAAATTAACCAATAAAACACTAAGGCTGTGTAAAGTAAAGACAAATAGAGGCCATCGAGCTGTGACACACAAGAGGCACTAATTGTTAGTAGCTCAAGTAGCCGTCAAGTCTATCGCTTGCGTAAACCATCCGAGGCGCATGGCCTCAGACTGTAAAATACAAGTCCCTGGCTAACGCGGATAAGTAAAAACAGGATTACGCCATATGAACCTTTGCAGGGGTTGCGGTTCTTTTTTTTTCAAGCCACACAGAGTGTCATGTGCGATACACATGTTACTCGCTATGAAATTAATGTGACCTTTGTACATTGAAAATGAGCACCTCGTGCGTTTCCATTGAGTGATTTTTGCCCCCGTGAGAATCAGAAGGGTTTTAAGATTTAAGCACATTTCCCAAATTGTAATCGTCAAGGAAAAATGGTGAAAAAGTGAACCGTTGAAGGAGCCTATCAGTCACGTAGACACGTTAATCTTCACAAGTTCTACATTTGATATGCACCAATCGTTTGTGAAGCACAGCGTTGCAATCATTTCGATGTTTCAGCACGAGATTGGGCAAAACGCATTTACGTTTAAGAAGTGTTAGCTGGTGCCATGATCATAGTTCAAAGGATCCCATGAACGCAAAACAAAATAACCTTTCATCCCAAAAAAAAACATTACCATCAACGTATTATCAGAAAACCTTTCCTTCTAATGCAAAAACGAAGACTATCACACAGTCCGCTTCTCATACAGGATGTGAAGCTTTTCTTCTTCCTCAATGATTTTTCATCGGCAATGCATTCCAGATGGCATTTCACTGTGTTAAATACATTGACTCCTAAAAGAACTTAGTTACACCCCTGAAACCCAACGCCTTAATTCAACGAAGAAATTATTTCCTGATTTCCCCATTCATCAATTTTGGGAAAATGACCCAAAAACGCAATGCTACTTATTTTTTTCCATGAAAAAAGAAGTATATCCTTAATTATACTGAGGGTATGATTCCTTAAAATGTGTCTAAGTACGGCACAAGATGATACCAAGTCATATCCAATAACGCTTCTCCCCATAAGACCCACAAATATTCTAAAATGTTCCAAAAAGGGTGAAACATGTCGAGGAAATGACAGATATTCAAAAGCGAAGAAAGCTTTAAAAGTCAAATAAGTAAAAAATTCGATGAAATGGAAGGGTTAAAGAAAGATTTCTGCAAATTGACCTGCAGCCACAGCGACAACTCGCGAGGCTTATGAAAAGGAAAAACCAACACCTGTAACACGCAGCTCAATGTCTACACCTCACTGTCAATGCCACAGGTTACTTTGATGACGGAAAAAGTGGCGCACTGAGCCCACCAATTGATTTAAAAGTATTGCCTGTCATTTAGAGTAGCAGGTTTGGGAGCTAAGACCAGGTCGCCCAACCGACGCTAAGAGGATAATCTAGATTCACTATCAGTCGAAATAATCAGTTGCGGACTCCGTCCTTTCCGCAAAAATTACTGATGCGTAATACAGCGACTTGTGTTTGCGTGCTTAATGGGTTCTACTAACACAAGAAGACGCCTATTGACCATGGCTAGTGAAACTGCTTCTTTTGGACTGATGGCATGAACTACTTCCACTTGCAGTCGTAAAAACGAAGTAATGGGTGGGTCAAAATCAGCGCAAATATACTTCTTCCACTACTAAGCTTACAACTAACGGGTACACGTACCTCTTTTCAATTCAACTTGACAGCTTTTACATTTAAAAAGAATGACAAAAGTACTGCAGACACCGATAGTTCGTTCAAATTAATGCCTTCCCAGTTTAATAAACTTAAACGCATGCTTCTTTAAACACATTTAAGATAGAAATGAAAAAGCGAAAAAATCTGATCCACTTTCTGAGATGCAGAGAATGCCAGCAAGTAAAGTAGTGGTATAAAGGGATACGGCTCAGAGAAACTCACTGAGTAGGTGGCTGATACTCCGTCAGGGTATCGATGTGAGGCACAACCAAACAGGAGAGTCGCGAATCGTCACTGCAAGTGAGGGCTGCGGTGGAAGCAGGGTAGCCCCCTTCCGCCTCTCCCTCGTGCGCCATTACCTCGAGGGTGGCCGTAGCCGGCGTCTGACCAGCCAACTCATGGGGCTGCGCTAATAGTGCCTCTGAGTCGTGGAAACCTGCGTTTACGCCACCCTGAAGGACACCGACAGTCGAGCGATTACCACCATCACTCACCTTTCAATATCTCCATCCTTGCTCCCCATCTTCACATAATTAAGGGACATGAAGTAGAAGATCAGAATCAAGAAATAAATACGGAAAGCACAGATATCGAGCTCATGCGCGGTCACTCATTCTAAACCTCATCGTCAGAACAATCCCTATCAAAAGTTCAGCACTGAGATGATACCCTAGCGACTAACTTATTTTTTGTCCCGAAACACAGATTTGGTATGGATTACCGTGGAAGAGAAAGATGACGGAAACAGAGAACACTGCTGAGGACTTAAGGAATCAATTTCCCTCCCACCCATTTACCAAAACCGTACAATTTTTCAGCTACTACTGGAATCAACGAAATGGTGTGGTTCCAATTTCAAACGATGTTTTGCATATGTATGGAAGGGCTAGAGCCACGAAAAGCACTGCAGAATACACCTAGACGAAAGAATAAAATTGGTTGATTAATGGGGGGGACACAAGGATTGGTCTTTATTTGAACGTATGGCAAGCAGATACAACAGAATTGGTACGATGGTACACCCATCTACTAGAAAACTAGAGTGAAAATTATCTTCCGGACTGTCCATCTTAAAAAAGCTATCGCTACTAATTCACCTAGGTACTCGATCCTTAACCTTCCCCTCTGTCAGCTAACGAAAACGCATTAACTGAGTGGTTGAGGCCAAAGTCCACTACTCCCCAAAACGCACTGTTCCCTCAATAGCATTGGAATTTTCGATGAGAGGGGCTAGTACTGATTGACATTAGCTATTTGCTTCCTTTGCATTACGGTCATTAAAAGGGATCTAGTATTTTTAGGTGTGGCAACGAAAACACTTCGTGGGGGTGATTCTAATAGCAGTAATGAACAACTACACTTTAAATAGCATGATGGCTTCTAATAAACCTGGCCACCTGTTTATATCAAGTCAGGTTACATAGATTCGTATGGTTGCAGATCGTGCGTCATTGGATATGTAATAAAAGGAATTAAAGAATATAAGGAAAATCATGTGGATACATGAGTCGATAAAGGCATATACAAAATGTGAAAAAAGACATCTGTCCCGCTATGGGATTGAGTCAAATGCAAGTGTGCATATTTAGGATTGCATGTAAAATTAGGTTAAGCATTTAAACCAACATATCGAAACAATAATGGACAAATACATGCACAGATGGATATTACAAGCACACAAGTATTGACTCTGCTAAGAATACCAACTTACGTTTCGCATTCCAAAGTTGAAACTTACATCATAAAGAGACTTATTGGACGGGTATCCCTACATTTCACTAAGAGTTAATCAAAGTCTCATTTTCATTAAGTATTTAGCGAGAGAAGGAGCTTAAAATAAATCGTAGCGGTGTATCTTCAAATCCCCTAGCAGAAAATGAACACATGCGATTTGGCGGGTAATCTTATGACAAAACGAGGGGACAATGCCACATTGGATTGACCATCAAGTGGTGGCACACAAGCACTATCGCGACTATCACTCGACCAACACCTCCCGATGCATGTCTTCAAAATCTGTGAAGTAAATTACAAAAGCAGATGAATGAGCACCAAGGACATTGATTTGTCGCTTTGACGAAATGAAAAAAGGGCCAAGGAAAATGCTCAATGAGATCGATAAAATCGGGGGATGAATTCTGGTTCATTCACGCTGAGGCTTATACAAATTGACTACCCTAATCGAACGTGATACTGAAATGGCCAACAGCGGCAACACCACAAAGCATAAACAACCTAGAGTGGAGGGCATCAAGGCTTTTATTCAATGTGTTTAACAAGGAAAGAAACAACTCACCGTTTGGGTATGCATTATGGGATCAGACCGGGGAAGGATGAAGAAGCGATCGGAGGGTTCGACATCGGCCTGAGTGCCGATGGAGGTGTGGTTTCCGTTTTGCCGACGACTCCTGGCGCGAGCGCGACGTCGCGCAGCTGCCTGTCGTTGCCGCTGTGTGGTGGTGCCACCGTTCCTGGAGCCGGAGGTAGAGACATCGGACGAGTTTCGGTGGCACACACCGAGGAGCATGATGAGCACCAGTGCCACTGAGAGCGCTGACATGCCCACGGAGAGTGAGACTAACGGTTTCTCTCGCACTGCCACTGCCGCCGCCTTTCCAGCCAGAAAGGCCTGCTGCAGTTGGCGGATGGTGTATATCGAGCCGTAGAAATAGGGTGTGTCACCACTTCTAGCTGAAATATGAAAACAGCCCCGTTCATCCTGAGGTGCTTTTACTCAAATAAGTACCTCCATAATCCTAAACTACGAAGACAAAAAAAACCATTCAAGTAAGCCTGCCAAGATAACAAACAAACTCATCGATCATAAGGGCGCGGTATCCGCATGACTGTGCTTTACAACTAAATAACCTAGATAACTTCATTTCACCGGAAGTCTTAGTGACTGCATTAAATTACTAACAAGAAAAATAGAAGACCCGAAGAGTGTCACCAAGGCAATGCGTGTTTCTACAATGTAGTTTGCAGAAACATTTATTGACGGCATGGGAGATAGTTAAATTCCCTAGAAATTAAGCCATTTTATGTGAGTGGAAACAGAAGTATTCCATACATAATGGGCAAATTTAAATAAAGTACAAGTAAGCATACTTTCTCACTCACCTGAAAAGCAATCCTGGACGGGAGGAAGCCAATAGAAGACCTCAGTGGTCCGATTCACCATGCACCTCGTTCGAACTATTTTGGAGGGAAGAGAAGACTGAGAACTGGCAGTGGAAGCATTTCTGACACCTGACAGACATCGGGCAGAGACGATTGAGTAGAGGACGTGAGTGTCACATGTTTCTGGCGTGCACTGGCGCACTCTCAAACCTTGGGCATTGGATTCCGGAAAGAGGCAACCAGTTGAATTCAAAACCATTTAATCTAAGGCGAAAACAACACCTGAATTGAGTTTAAATCAAGAATGAAACCCAAAAAAACAATATCAATGAAAGCTAGTTAGCGTTTGGAAATAAAACAGCTTGAATAAAAAACAAGTGCATCCTATGCTTTTATAACACACATCGTGTTAGAGATGCTAAAACTATGCTAGGGAATCAAAGGATTGAAAACTGGCAGAAAAACTATTGGCCAGTCGACAAAAGTCCTTAAGTTGGACATTAGGGTAACTAAATTAAGTGCCAGCAACAAAACGCAGAAAAGAATTAAGCTTCAATACAAAATGAAGTACTAAAGAGTCAAGTAAATCCAAAATCCAATTAGGAGAAAAGTACCCAAGGAATAATCTCCCAGAGTTAAAGGACAACACACATTAGACAGTTAACTGCTACCAAAAAACAAGAGCGTTGTCGTGAGCACTGCCTTGACACCAGCAGCTAAAAACTATACCACTATTAAAGTGACTTGAACGCCTAATCAAGTACCCAAATTAAGGACCAACACAAAGGAGTCACAAACAAAAATACACACGTGTACAGGTTTCATGAGCTAGTGGGACCATTTCCGCATTATTAACGAACCAAACATCAGAAAAATGTAACACGAACCAAGAGTGCAGCAGACCTGTGTAATTGTAATTACAAGGAGGCAAATTTGTAAACGTATAAGTTAGGCAACCAGTAGGTAAAATGAAAGCACTCAATCTAATAGCGATTAAATTTGAAGAAAAATACTTGTAAAAGAAGGTTTCGAAATTCCATAATGAGCAATATCCAGCACCTCATTCGCACAATTTGAATTTTTGGATTTATTTCAAGCACTCTCAAACCCACTAAAAGAAAATAAGAGTAAATTAGTTCCATCTCTATGGGAAACAGAAAGCTGAAGATAAGGTAAGATCGTAATGAATTGCATCAAAGCAATGTAAAGTGGATCTTAACCTCTGCCCCTAATTATCGTAAACATTTAGACACAATAGAAAACCCTGCAAAATATTTCATAATTGCAGAATCAAAGAGTTTGCAAGAAGGTAGAGGCCAGAATGTAAAGAAGAAATTGAAAGGTAAGAAGGATCTACTTAAAAAAACTATCCCACTAAATGCATAAGTGCAAAAAAAATGCAATTACATAAATTGAAAAAGAGACATAAAAATTGACAGTGCAACAAAAAGTAAGAAAAAATTGGCAAAATATAAGCTATAAAACCAGCCCAGCACCTAAGTACCACTTTGGTGACACGATTTTGTGGATATTCCACTGGATTTCCGCACCACTTGTGACCTATTCGATCCACTTAAAGACACTACAAGAGGAATCCCGTTGATTTTCATGAGATGCACGAACAATCTTTAAGGTATTAGCTAAGTGGCTGTGTTCCAAGTGCGAAATGCCATCCTCACTCCGCCTCTAGGCACGATTTCGACCAGAATTGTACGATGTAAGCGCAACCGAACTTTTTTAACAATAAGTACAAACTATTGAAAGATAAAGCATACAACCTCCCACTTCCTATGCATAAAGTAACAATTAGAAAATGAGAGAGATTAGGAGCAGTTACTGACTCGTGAGGTTGTAGTACATGCTTGGTTAAATGCACCCCTTTAGGTGACAAGCGAGCAGATTGACATAACCTGGTGACCAAGGGGACACAATCGATCCTCGGGGAGGGAAAAAGGTCCGAGCCCCTAACAAAACTTGGATCTTCTGTAAAACCTCACACTACCACAGTGCATTATCTTCCTCTAATCAACTTCTCCAGTCCAGCGGTCTGGTGCCGGGGTCAGGAGAGAAGAACAACAGGAGCATTGCGGAATAGATCAAATTCCCTCTGGTTGTTTAACCTGACTAGACACTTGTCAGATCTCAGATAATGCAACCAAATGGTGCTGAAAAAATGTATTGACATTACCTTACAATTAGATTGGAACGAAGTGTGCAGCTCTGTATGAGAGACGCCAAATGTAACAGTGGTACTCTGGAAAGAGAAATCCTCGATTAGTTACAGGTGATGTCAGTGATTCCAAGTCTACATGTAGCCCAACCACATAGTTAGTTTATAATCCACTGAAACGAACAAAAAGGTCGAAAATGTATCTATAATAATGGAAGTATTTACCAATTGGCTAGGTTTTTTAGTATTGATCAACACAAATCAGACAAAGTAACAAAGACCACGTCAGTTTTCGGCCAAGTTTGTGACTTATGGTCGCTTCCAAGAAAGAAGTACTCTAACCATCCCCTATAATTCGTTACATTCCAGTGACCTTAGAAAATTCAGACATCATAATGATAATATTGGATCGTGCGAATTTTATCGCCGCAGTAATAGATGGGTGTTATCATCAGGTTTTTCCTTTTTCCATGTATACATATCACATATGCAGCTTGACTGCGTCCTTAGAGCGGTTTCAGCATGCTCAATATATTCTTGAAAAAAGTTAAGCAATCCATAGTGTAGTTTGCAAACTTCGAGCCACTCTCGTTTCATGTGTCTGATTTTAAAGGTCATATTCTCAATACTAGAGTTTGCCTGAGCAAAAAGTGTCTCTTTTCGGCTTACACCATAAATATGCATGACCTTGAACACCGGAGTAGAGACCATGTGGTAGGAATTTGTCTGAGGCGCGGTAACATATGGATGCTAACATCATTGAGGATTTCGACTTTAGTGCTGCAAGAACAGTAATGTTACAAATTGTGTGCGCATTTTTGAGGTACCAAAGGCAGGTCGGAGGGTGAAAAGCATGAAGCCGCCGATAGATTTGTTGAAGGACGATACTGAGGCTCTAACTATTTCTGATACTAGTGAACAGGTTTGGGGTATTTGATTCATATACTGAAGAAATCATTGGCAAATCAACCCTCTGTTAAGAAATCTGTCGGTGGTTGGGGCGAAGAAACAAGCAACGCAATTGGGCATATTTTCTTCGGGTATAATTAGTGTAAAAGCGCATTTTGTAGGGAAATGGATGGGACAGACGAGAAGGTTTCCGTAGTTGATGCAGGTACGCAAATGTTGGTGCTCCGAGTGGCTCTGTTGTTGGCATTGAGTGCCGTCTGTTCTGTTCTATCTCATGACGCTATTATTTCCCTATTGCTCAATCTGGGACATAAATAGCCTACATTGCACACATTTCCTGTCATATATACGTTCCGAAGTCTTCAGAAAGAAACTTTCTTAGGCCACCTTGTATTTGATAGCCTAAGATTTGGCAATATATCGGTGTAGAGCAGAAGACACTGCTTAACCTATTCGAATGATTTTGTTGTATTTGTGACAATAAAGAGTCCGACGAGGAACCTGGTAGGTGGAATGAATCTTCCCCTGAAACACAGACATACCCGCAATACCTGAAATCGAAAACGCTGATGAAGCATCACATGATTGTGACGCAACCAGTACCCCAAGGTAGGTTCTCCCACGACACCTTTTACTTAAATTCGCTTGCTAGTTACCTTCTACGCCATGCGCCCCAGTCTATTTGGTGATAGCTAACAGTCCAAACAATAATGATAGAGTCCACACCTACTATGCAATTGCTTCCATTCTCCTGGACAGCCTAATTCTGCGACAGGCACGCGTGATTTGCACATTTAGATGCCCTGCAACCAAAACTATAATCTATCTCAAATGAAAAGAATACTAGTAGCACTTACACTTCCCATCCCCTGAGTACCAAACTCGGGCCCTCAGTAGTATGGGCGCACACTACTAGCTTACCTAACTCCTAATACCAACCAAAACGCACATCATCCCCCGCGACCGCGATAAATAGTAACCTCAAACTGAACATCTCTTCGTCGAAGTTTTGAATATGCTTTATTTTTGCTTCAGTATGTTGGTGAAGAGGATTCCAACGTATGCAGAACTGGAAAACGAGATCCTCATCTCTCACGGTCTCCAAATGCTGGTAACCAAGTGAAAGCGATGCGTTAAGCTCATGATGTTCAGGACAACACAACAGACCTGACACTACTAGCAAATTTTTTGGACCCCAAGGAAGATACCGGGGAGGAGGATGAGGTCTGGGACTGGAACAGACTCCGCACTACCTTGGCATACGATTAATTCCTTACTTAAAATGCCGTCATTCCCAATGCTGAAATACACGTCAAAATGAAATGGCAGTTTTCATAGTGTTGTTAATAAGCATTACGCTTTGTATGAGTACATGGGGATTTCATCACCTTTGATCAGTCTGCGCTCAACACCATCACGAGAGATAACACCAAGCCGGATGCAACCACCGCTCGACCCATCCCTATTTATTGCAAGGCCCACACCTAAATTGGGATAAGAGGGAATCTAAATCATTCAAGGAGGGAAGGGCATAGCTGTGAGGTGATAGCGATCTACTTTGCAGTATGAACCGGAGTAGAAAGGCAAAGTTTAAAAGTGACTAATCTGCACTAAACCACCACCATTATTAGAGTGGAGGTTGGGGAACTCACATGTGCTGACAAGTTCCACTGCTTCTTCTTTCGTCATATTTGGCCTAAATTGTGCATCGAAGAAACCATACAGATAAGTACTTCCACTACCACCAATCACTGCCGGTTGTTTGATAAGCATGCCTCCAACTGGGATCGAATAAATCTGGAGTAAGTAAAGGATTGTATTGATACCGTACCTGACCGCCACTTTCAGCATCCCAACCAGCAACAAATATTCCGGCAAGAAGACTGTCACGATAGTTGTAGCACAAGTTTTGAACGGTAGTAGCAGCTTCTGCTACAGTAGGCTCACGACCCATTTGGATAGAATGAAATTCGAGCTGATATTTTACAACATCAGTTATGGCCTGTGTGTCCGCTGCAGAACCCGAACGGCAGCAAAAAATGTACTTTGTAAGAGGAGTGAGCTTGTCTGTTATCCGATTCGCTACGTACGCCCTGCGAATAAGCAGTAATCCAATAAACTCACCCCGAAGATGTGCGAGAGTCAGCTCCGATCACAACGCCTCCGCTATATTCGCATGCAACCAATGTGGTCTAGATTTATCAAACATTTTAGTTTGACGTACCCCAGTGCTGACTTCAGCTGTTGACCAGTTTGGATACTGTTCATATGAGGGCAAAACTTGCGAGACACACTCAGCAATGTCCTTCATAGCGAAAAGTGCGCGATTGGGCCAACAGAACTAGGCTAGCTCTAACCCCTAAGTTTCATTCATAAAAATATTGCTTCTCATCAAAAGGTATATTTAGGCTAAAAATGTGATACGCCTAACAGATTAGGTTTTGTGATTATTGTCACCTAAAAATATTTCGCTTTGCATCCAGACAGCTAAGGCACTAAATTGATACATTACACGACTAATAAATCGATAAAACCACATAGGCCCTGATTTTTCCCTGAAGTTGAAAAGGTAAGGGTGACAGAAAAATGAAATATAAAATAAGGTATATTGCGTATTAAGAACACTATGAAAAATGACATAATATTTTGACGTGTATTTCAATATTGGGAATGGTAAAACTGCCATTTCATTTTGACGTGTATTTCAGCATTGGGAATGACGGCATTTTAAGTAAGGAATTAATCGTATGCCAAGGTAGTGCGGAGTCTGTTCCAGTCCCAGCATTTCGCACTTGGAACACAGCCACTTAGCTAATACCTTGAAGATTGTTTGTGCATCTCATGAAAATCAACGGGATTCCTCTTGTAGTGTCTTTAAGTGGATCAAATAGGTCACAAGTTGTGCGAAAATCCAATGGAATATCCACAAAATCGTGTCACCAAAGTGGTACTCAGATGCCGTGCCAGTTTATTTAACTATTATTTTCTCTCTTCATGGTTTCTGCCGTGCTGTTCCATTTGACTCCCTAAAATTTTGGTTGTTATGCAAGTTTATACTGTGTTTTACATATGCTGGCTGCTTGATTTTAAGTTATGGCAATTGTTTCTTGCCTGTGTTGGCTGCCCTCTTGGCTATGCCACTATCCGTAACCCCTTTGTAGCGTCCCGGGACTCCCTGAAGACGAAAGAAGACACAATACTCGTGCAGAATACGTATATTCAGCACAGAAAAGGTGTTTGGGCCACTGGCGTGGCCCGAAGGCCAGCCCACCCAGCGAGGTACAAGGGGGCTAATTCGAAGTATAAAAGTGGCGCCTCACCAGAACCGAGGGATAAACCATTATTGTATTATACCTTCTATATGTTGAAAATACATATTCGCTTTTGAGCATAATAATTTGTTTCGTTTCATGGATTAATTTCGGGCAGTTGCAGTTTTTTAATTTGTATATTTTTTTGCTTTTGTCACCTTATGTTTACAAAAATTAGCCTGATTTACTGGGTATTTTATTACTGTAATGCCACCACCTTCATTAACGCTTTACTTATTCCTCGTTTTTGTTGACGTGCCCATTGGTTGTATTGTCTTTTTTCCGATGTCTTGGTAATTTGGACTGATGCTGCCTTATTACTTTTTTACAGCTCATTTTGTAATATCGTGGAATTTCCTAAAGTATTATCAATTTAAAAATACTTGTTCTCAACTTTCCTACTTGATCTTCGCCTGCATGTCCGTGTGTTCCAACCTTCAAGCAGTGAATTTTGACGGCAAATATTTTACTAGTTAATCTAACTTACGCCTTGCATGTTTAATACTTATCTATCTCCAATTTTTGCAGTGCCATAACGTGTTTTTGATGCGGTGGATTTGATGTAAAAATATATGTGGAGTGCCATTGACTGGGAGTGAATTGTAATTTTCCGTTGATGAGATAAAATAATCGTGGTCTTGATCATTGGGTTCTTAGTTTTTGAAAAGGACTTATTCGGGGTAGAGTTTGTCTTTGAGAAATAATGTTTATAGTTACCCGAGGACTAAGAATACATGTAAATAAAACATACACGAAAGCTTGGGGTCAATATTATGACCAGAGAAGGTAGCAATGGTTAAGACAAAAGTTGGCTCCTCTACAAAACAAGAGTCAACTAAATTACCAGTGCGTTACATGGCTCTTCTTCCATTTTTAGCTTCGTCCCTGGCGCTCTCCTTGGGCAGCCTCCCGCATCAGCGATCACAACGTAATTTGTGCTGACAGAAAAACACCTACGAACCCACAGTACCAACCATCGAATTTCAAACGCAATTGCGGAGATATTCAACCGCAATTTTAATGATTCCTTTTGGAAATTCTATCGTATCTGGAGTTTTTTCCTGTATGGGAAGTGGATTCGAAGAAGAGGAAAAGTGATGACCGTCACGCGTGTTCATAGCTAGTCGTGGGATAAGTGCCCCAAGAGCAGAGTCATGTTACAAAGGAACATAGTTCCGTGGGGATGTGGTTCTGCGTCTGTTCCTGCCTGCTACTTTGTTTTCGCTTCAGAGTTAACCAGTCATATCTATCTGTGTTCTAGCTAGCTGGTAGAGAGGTAGAGACATCGCATTTTTGCATGTTTGACATCTTCATGTAGGAACGGTAAACAGCTCTGCAACGAACTTTACTGGATGGTTTGAGACAAGCTGCTCTTCCGCCCCTAATAGGGTTCCTGGCGCAGCTGTACATCATCAACTGCGCCAAGATTTTTCAGCCAGCAGTAGAAATCAGGACTGACGTTCTTTATGATAGGGTTTGTTTTCCACTGCAACCAGTGTAGCGCCCCCTAGACCATCCCGAATACGAAAGAGGCCAAACTACTCCGGCTGAATACAACCGACACGCATCAGCGCTTGAAGCTACTAGTATAGTCCAAGTCCTAGCCCACCTTGTAAAGGCAGAATGGAGGAGACCCAAAATGACACCCTATTAAAACGCAGAGTTGAATAACCAATGCATCATATTGTTTCGCGGCATTAATGCGGTTGCCGAATTGGGGGAGATGGGCATATCTAATAATTAGCATAACGGACGTCGAACAGTAATATTTAGTAGTATTGTGACATGGCTCTTGATTAAATTAGTGAATGGAGGATCTTCAATCCTTAATTATTTTTTAGGGACCAATGCCTTTCCGATATGTGTTCAATGTCTCTGAACGTGCCAGTATTTTCTTAATATTGTAACTTATGCAAGGTTACTTGCGGAGTTGTTATTTTATACAAATGTTAGAATTCATTTTTAATTTGATTGCTGTGTTTTAGTGTTTTTCGTTGGCTAAAATTATCAAGGTCAGGGCGCCCACATTCTATGCCCGCGCGGCTGGTGTGAGTCGTTGTGCTTTATCTGGGTCGCCGCAGGTGGTGCACTTTTTACCCTTTTTTTCGCCTCGTTTCGTTGGAGGCACTATTTTGATACAGAACCTATGAATGACTCCTAATAGCTATACAAACCATATGAGTAGTTAGTTAAGAACAGCTGGAGTTCCTGTTAGCTATTTTGCATACTATTCGGCACACAAACCTTGAACTATTAAGTCTAGTTAAAAGTGGGTGCTCTGGGAGCGTGGACCTACTTCGGGCCATGTCTGCATACCTACAGCAATTGGATGGCTTTATTATCGGCGCTTTTCTATCTACTTACGTTTTCGCTTATCCTATTAATTACCGCACGACTCGCAATCCTCCGAGTGCCCAAATCTATCATGTAGGATTTCAACTTGGCTGCTTTGACAACACCATTTTTACAGAAGTGGCTTCGGGGTTCCAATGGTAGTTCTCTACTGATTCGACGGTTCAAGTTGTAAGAGCCGGCTAAGTTACGACCATTCAGAACCTCTCTATTGGTTAACATATACGCAGTCATTTTCTTTTTACAGGTCATATTTTCCTATACTTATTTCCTCTTGCACTTTGTTTTGGGCCCGTTGTTGTCGTGGAACTCTTTAGCTTTATGTCGCTTAGGTTTTCATGTTCACATCCATTTTCCTCGTATTCGAATGTCAGATTTGTTTTTATTTAATTGCATGTTTGTGATCGGATGTCTGTTGGACACTAGTTCGTTTTTGTAAAAATAGGAGTGTATTCTTCTTTGCTCCCTCCACTTTTACTACAATACCCTTTCCAGACTCGCCTTATATGTCAAGTACAATTCCACGTGTATTGAACCACATTTATCGCAATGCAGTGCAAGGCTTGTCCATCTTTCATTGAAAAGTGTTTTATGCAGCAAAATAATCCTCAGTATTGCTGCTTTTAACATATGACGTCCGAGTTAGCATATTTGGAGGCTCACCGAGTGCATTTCCTACTCTTCTTGTTGGTCCAAGAAGTAGCTCTTTGATTTTTTTCTCCCATCTTGGAAGGGTCTGTTATTTTGCTTTGGATGATCAGTCGATTTACCTCTTTGAATAACCATTCACTGAGAGTTCTTGCTTCTTGGGGATAAATTTACTCACTCCAATGCAGTGGGGCTTTCTGCTGAAAGGATTGAGTAGTTCGCTGACTAAAAACATAAAAACGGTATAGATTTAACTCGTCATTCGTTAAATTGTTTGCTAAAGTTATGAAAAGAGTTATTATAACTATAGTCCTTATTCTATCGCCCAAAACTGGTTCATGTGTTGTGCGGCCTACATCTTTGGCTTCTTCCTGTGAATAAGTTGAAACGGGTGAATTAAGTTTATTCAATTCTTATTAAGAGTTTGGTTCGGTTCAAATAATTGTCAATATTACCGTTCGCCAATCTTCAGGTATGTCAACGGATTTTATCAAAGCGAAACATTGTGCTGTTGAATCGGTAACTCAAATGCTGGTCTAGTCGTCAAATCCGAAAAACATGCAGTTTTTACTTTTTTGGACGACAAGTGTTTTATTAATGTGTATCATTTATTGTAGGTAATTTGTCGTCATTTCCTGCTTGGGTTCTTAGCCTCGTCTCACAGCACTAATCTGCAATGGCTTCTCGCAATCCTCAGAAAGGTATGTGGCACTGATGTATATTCGTTCCCTTGAATTTCTCTCATGCACACCGTCCCCTTGTTCCTTCATTCATGTGATGACCTTTTTCACGCTCAAAAGTTCAACCATACAGTTTAATAGCTATGTCAGAGATCATCTCGTTGTGAGGTAATTTTTTGAAAATATTGGCAAAACGTTGGAGTATTGTAATCTCTGAGCTGAAAGTTTTCTCTCATGAGCCATATTTCTATTTGGTTTATGCACAACCTTATCTGTAATTGTTTTTTTTTCATGCAATAATTTCAAGAAATTTTTTTTTGACTTATAGCAATTGAGGTCCTGTGTAAGTGTTTTTTCTTCTGAGTTCTTAATTAGCAAGTTTGAGACTTACCGAGAGGCGTTTGCTTTAGACCCATTAAAAATGAGTTCGTTTTGTTGCTTCCAATTGTGTCTACCCTTGTGTCCATTGTTTTTTTCTGCAAGAGAGTAGTTTCAAAGTGTGGTGATGTGTCTAAAACGTTTGGTTGTACTTTCTGCATTGGCATGTAGCTGATGATGCAATCGCGTTTGCACGTACATGTATGCCTGATAAACTCTGGCTGAGGCACATCTGGCTGGTCGTACGTACACATACACACCCACACACATAGAGAGAGGAATAACAACAAACTATCTTCTCTCTCTCGCTGAGTGAACACACTTGAGAGACCGCTTGATTGTGGCCCATCCAATCTCACTCTAATGTCATCTGCCAACAAGTGTTTATGCAAATATGGCCCTGGTGTTAGTCAACCGATAATAGTAGATGCAGTTGTTCAAACATTCATCTCTGCCGTCAGGATCGCCTCGGTTTTGTCCTCGTGTGCGACTCAGCGGGAAGCTTATGTTTCAGGCAACCCTCGCACTAAGCTTCACTTTCAAAGCTTTTCACCTTGTCTATCTCACAACTCTGCGTTGATGTGTTAACTGGCATTTAAAGCAGTATCCTCGGGTTCATAGGGCGATTCTGCTTAACTCGATAGTTTCTGAGATTTTACCGCACAGTGTAAAAATCTTGCGTTAATGGTCGTTTTCTACACTTTCTTGAGATAAAATTGCTAATTTTTGACGCATAATAGGCTACTTGTTTATAGATGTACTCCGGTTGCGACAGCAAAATGCCCGAATTACTCATTAAGGAATAGATTGTTCTGAATGTTTGGAAATGTGACTTATACTTTTGTTTCTCTTCGGTAGTCACTTCCTGGTACAGAGTCCACTTAGGACTGCATGGCGGTATTGTTACCTGCATAACCTAAATCAATTATACGTGTTTCTCATCACTTACTGTTTGCCTTTCCGTTGACATGTTTAACTCTTAACCACGGCGTTGCATATTTCTCCATTTTTACCACTTTATCAAGCAGGTGCTTTACTTCTTCGATATCTCGCTATCCCGTTACTGCGAAATGTGATCTGTCAGAACTGGATAGCTTAACCCACTGGTTCAGATGTACCTATTGAGTTCAACTTCTACCTTAGGGGCTAGGAAGGGTTTTCATTTGCTTTTAATTCCTTCAACTATTAAGTTTTATATTAACATGAAGCTTAGCGATGTTCGTGAGGCTGATGTTTTAATAGTCGCAATCCTCAAAAGACGGTGTTTGGTCCTTTAGTGTTCAGTTCTTTTAGGCAAATCTTTCATTGGAGGATCCTAGATGCATTTGTCTGTTAGCATGCTCAGATGCCAACTTACGCAGCTAGTTTTGGGTTGGTTAAAGCTCACTTTTTGTGCCTTATTAATCTACTTTGCGAAATGGATATTTTTTATCCATCAGTGTTACTTTTTTCCTGACATGTCATGAAATTATTCCAAATAATTGGGGTAATGTAGTAAGAAAATACTGCTTCCTTATTAGTTTACTTATCAACGTACCTAACAGTTTCAAACGTATTTTCTTTATGCAAATCCTAAGAAATGATGAAAATGCATAATTTGTGACATGAAGTAGCCGCTTGGATATCCTTGCTTCCCCCATCAACAGTACGCACTGACTTATGGACATATAAGCACCCGGGGCGGTTGATTTTTCCGAAAACAGTCATTGCATGTTAAAAGATGAAATTATTGGCCGTGTTGGGGGTTTTTGAGTTCTTGATATTAGCCTTCAAGTCTGTACACCAAGTTACTGTATTCCGTGTCGGGTTCACTGAGCCGTAAAGAATACAAGTTTGCAGTCCTCACTTGAAGGCAGATTTATTATTTGTAAACTCGACTAGCGACAATATTAGGAGAGAGTTTTTAGATTATAAGCTCTTATTTGGTCTATTTCAATAAGTTTCAATGACCTAACGTCCCACTAAGTAGTAACTCTCTGGTATATCCGTTGACTGCAAGTATTGCCCCGTTGCTAAAATATTGTAAACCTCCTTACAGACCTGTTGAACTATTCTGATTCCCATTTTGTGACACTGTACTCCCCTTTTTATGTTTTCCTACCGCCAAGGCCTACCCCATTGTAATCTTGCCTCATTCACGCGTTGGTGGTTTTAAATCACTCTTTGGGGAATCAAACCTCTAGTAAATTATTTGGGGTAGTTATCGAAAGGTATTATCATCCAGTCGTTTACTGGAAGTCTGAATTGCAATCCGGTATGTCAGCTTGCATTGGCTCCTTCTCTGGGTTTGCCCTTTTATCTTTGAATGCCACTTAAACTTATCCTTCTCTTCACTATCGAAATTAGACAAATGTAATGTCCCTTGAAATCCGCAATTTGTCGTGGAAGCGCATCAATGAGATTTATCATAGATTCTAGTTAAGCTTCACCCTTTTTTTGGACTTCGAATGCGCCGTCAGAGATGCATATTTTTAGCACGAATAGGACGTCTGATATAACAGTGGGTGTTATGCACAGTGCCGCGTTTACAAACGAGGACAAGGGTGTACGTACTGAAAGGGAACGTTATTTTCGAAATTTGCTAGAAGCTTGGACCCACCGTTTGTTTAAGCAAGGCAATCAGTTTTAAAAGATGAGACAATATTTACCACTTCTTGGACCGTTAGGCAATTGTCATAGAATGGTTAAAAGACTAAAACCTACTCAATTCAAGCTCTTTCATACCGTGTGCAGCTTGTATTGGGTTTGGAGACAATCGTCTCAAGTGTGAAGGGAAGACGGCGTGTATTGAAAAGCATTCAACATCGATCAATGCGCGGTCTTGTATTATCAAACCAGGCTATCACATTGAGTTATTTTAAATTAGGCATAGATATAGATCTTTAGTATCCCAGTCATCCCCATCTTCACAACTATCTCCATGTTGCGCATTTTTGACTTGATGTCTAGGTGGATTGTGGATTTACATCCTTGTAGATGAGTGGACTTGGTCGTGGTCACATATTTTGACCAAGTTTTATCTACGCACATTTAAAGGTGAGATTATTTCTATCATCTGCGGCCGTTCTGCCGTAATTATTTCTGAAATTTAATTGTCACTTCGAGGCGGCGACCAAGGTAACCCTAAAAATGGAATAAGCCATACGAGTCTGCAGGTAGGGAAGGGCTAGTATTGTTAGCATGGATAACTTCATCAGAGCTTCGTACCATCCTTGTGGGGCTGCTTTGTGGGAGACTTCAGAAGCTTGCACAATTTCATAAAGTTAAGATGGATATCACTTTACAATTGATAAGTAACTTGTTGCCTTGGGCACACAATCACCTGCACTTTGGTTTCAAGGTTAAAGATCCCCATTAGGGGAGTTGGTGTAGGATCAGGCGGAGTGGTTAACAGTGGACACGGTGTCTCGCCTCTGCCATCGGAGTCAGCCTTGTGGCAGCTCTCCGGCCCCGGCGAGAGAACGTGAGTCAGCCAGACCTGCGCATGCGTTGTCGTGCGGCCGTGGGTGCGGCGTGTACACAGACCATCAAGTCAGAATGCGTCATCGCTTGGGCTCTCCCAACATCGTTCTTTACAGTCACGCGCACGTTCCCTACCCTCTTTTGGTCTTTTTTCTCCTCTCATCTAGCCCCTTGCTCCATTTGTTTCGTCTTGGTGACCTCTTCCGATGACGGAATTTCTGAGCCACGGTTACGGGGCGCTTGCTTTTAATCCACCATCCGAGGCATTGGGTGGATGAGGAGAGTGAATTTGGGGATTTCTCAGAAAGAGCTTACCCAAAATTGTGTGGAGTCATTTTACTGTTGCTGACGCGCGTATACACGTTTCTACGGTTCATTGTGACCTGTTTTCTTTTCTTACTGCTGCCTCTGTCCTGGAAACAAACAATAATTTGTACTTTCATTCTATACACTCCATTGAGTATCAGGCCAGCGATCCAATGGATCGGTAATTCCTCCTCTTTATCTAACTGTTTTCAATCTTGAGATCTTGCATCCAACTTTTTATCATTCTTTTAAGTCAGAAGTGTCAAAATTCTTCACTTGAGAGTAATACAAGGTTTTGAAACACAAAACTATATAATAAGTTGTTGAATGACATATTCTGCCGTCAGAGCAGGACGGCAACTCCTATCGTGTCTTCTAAATCATCAGCTATGTAACAGTCACATAAACCCAGCATTGCATCTACTTAACTCAAAGCAATAGGGTTTTAATTCCCTATCATAGGAAATGAACTTCCGTATAATCTTCAGTCGACCAATTGTCCGTATTTCTAGTTTCTTCACTTGTGGCGTTAGTGCTCTGGGGGAGAGGGAAATCCGATGTTCGACACTGCTGAGGGGATGTGCCATACGCATTCCGGTTAAAAAGTTTGTATGTAATTGTCTACTAACGTTCGCATTTCAAAAACACTGGGAGTTGCCAGCCCCTCTAAGGCTTTCTCCCTCCTTTCTCCTCACGATCGCCACTGCCACAGAGGTGGCTTGGGTTCAAGTTAGTGCATTCGGCTGAAATATGGGTCATAGCTACCTACCTCCTATTCTTCTAAACAATATACAAAATGGCCTGGTTATCAGTGTCTGAATCGAAGCGGCGTGCAATCCATTAATCTCCTGGTGGAAAATACCTCGAGTTTCCCACTTTTCGGCCGCTCTTAGGTACTTTTGCACGCCAACTCTAGTATTTTAATTGCATAGACCATCTTTATACATTGCACATCTATCCCTAATTTAAAATTTGTTTAAATTCATACTGCTATTACTTTTATAGTAGCATACCGGCTCCGTCATGAAGTGGAATGAATTGTTTATGTTGCGAATCATTACCACGCACGAACTGTGCAGGTTCTTCTTGAGAAATTAGATTATCTTGTCTCTGAATGGAGAATTTGTGTTGTTTTATTTATTGATGGACCATAGTTTTCAGCGTTTTTGTTTTGGTCGATTTTTCCATTCCCGTTATGAGCGTTGATTCCAAAACAGCTTCTGTTAAGCAAGTATAAGACTGTAGGAGCTTTTTTTGATTTACCCTGCCTACCGATCAAAGCGCATGTCACTCGGGCAACATGGTTCTCACTTCGAGGCAAGCAAACCTGTTGTGTATCTGGCAATTGCTCACCGCGGCGTTTATCTGACCTTTTTGAGATTCCAACTTCGTTCGTCTAAATTTTGTTTATTTACACTACTCTGGGCCAACTATGAGCATTTTAATTAAAATCTAACTGGAGGTTTGCTTCCTCCTTTGGTATAAGGTGCAATTAACTTTTTTGGTACTGGGGACATCTTTGTGAAGTCACTTCGTTTGATTAGGATATTTGGCTATTTATTTGTTGCTGAAGGTGCTACGCATATTTAGTAAGTAGAATGTTTTGAGTAGAAACGCATTTTTTCTTGGTTTTGCACCGCTGTGAACTAGTGGCAATTCCTAGTGCACCGTACGTACCTTTCACCTTTTTCATTACATCAAAGCTACTTATTAATCGGGGTAGTAAAAGTAGGTCGTTGTTTATAAATGGAATACTTGAATTAAAGTCTCCCTTTGTTGGGGACAAGTTTCTTTCCGCAAAACCTTAGTTCCACGAGTAAAGATGGCGAGTAATCACTAGTCCCTAGTTTCAAATCGTTCGAATGTGTTCTGAACGATAAATCAACCAAGAAATTGCCCCACCGGATTGGAGCTCACGCTGATGCAATATGCAAACTCTATGTTGGAGCTACATTTAAATGCTCACGAAGATCAGCGTAGCACCTAAATCTGAAGTTAACGCAATCGAACCACATGCAGCATGAAGGGGTTACTTCAGATGACAGGGCATTCTGAAAAAATGGAGTCAGAGCACGCCTTCCCTAAATCGGTCACCGGCTATTAGCTACCAGCTGCCAGTCGCCCTCTGATAATTGTCGTCCAATGTGGGCACCGCCGCCCTGCCCCTGCCCCCGGCGCGTGACGCACAGGCAAAGCAAAATACCCGTGCACTGTCCGCCCATTCATCGCATCGTTCGATTGGTCAGGACTATCCAATCAGCAGACTAGTCTTGTCATTGGATGGTGGACGTGGTAGCACGGGTACACGCGCATACGTAGGCTGCCTGACCCATTATGGTAAAACGCAAATGAGATGACGGAGACGGTGGGCCAGGCGCATTGCGAGTCTTCTTCTCTCTCTGGTTAATTGGAATACACTCACTCATTCTACTCACGCATCCACACAAAAGCCCCGCCGGAATGCTACTTCGGTCTTTCAATTGCTTTCCCACAGTCTCTCGGATGAACACTGAGGAGATGTTTGGTGAGCTTTTGCCTATGTTAATTAGTTGGCGGCTCTTAAATCCTATTTTTATAGTCCCGTGAAAATTGATCTCATACTTTTTGTCTCTACTTCTTGACGCCTTCCCCTCAGCTAGTAGTTTAAAAAGAATCAGTGAATGGAGGAATACATATACTTGAACATCAGATTTCCCGATTCTGTAATTCAACTCTGAATGTCACTTGTTTATTAGAAATGTTTGGAAATTCATTTGCACTCATACTAATGAACTTATCACATTTTAAATCAACTATTGACGCTACGTGGCCTAGGTTGCGAGATCTCATCTGACCAAAAGTATTGACATAGAGGGGGAAGATGATGCCCCTATGCAAACTTACTTGGTGAGTGATTTGGCGTCTGTCTAATCAGTGTTTCAGTCACCTGATGCGATTCGCCTTAGTGCTAAGACATTAACAGTGGAGAACACTGTCAGAACTGCGCTCCGTTTACATAACCCTCTTGGGTCAAGGTAGCGGAAACTGCTGCTTTCCGAGTACCTCAGCTGCGCAGAACTGTGGATGCGCAAGATTGAGTCTAGTTCTTTCATTAAATCTGGCATGCGATTGCTGGCCACTTATTCGGTGCGTTCTTCAACGGTCGCCTCCATACTTAATTAACCTGCATCCGCTCTGCATAATCAAGGGGAGTCGTTTGTTGTGATCATCATACAAAGTAGCAGGGCTCATACCATCATTTGAGTGTCGATCCCCTGAATTTGTCACTTTATGTTTTGTAATTCAGTGAATTTCTAACAAGAAACAACCTTTTCTTTCTTGCTACTTTTGAAATGGTCGTCGTTATTAACTTTCGCATATTAATTTATGACCCGTCAACAAATGACATGAACTTGGCCTTTCGTGAATACCTTTTAATGTCAAAATCTACAGGTCTTCTTGAAGTAAAGAAGCGATGGCATTTTGTAATGGGGTTCTTTTTTTGTATCTTCCACGCAATTTGATGTGTTTTCATGAAATTAACAGAGAGGAAAGTTATCAGTGTTAACCTCATCATCAACCTGGTGCTATTTAATGTCATTCACCTGATAATTAGCACTTGTCCCATTAGGTTGTTTAGCAAATGCCACTTTCTCTCCCAAAATGCTGGTGGTGTAGCCTGTGTGGGTGCATGCACATGTCTACCTGAAGGAGAAGACTACCACGTTGAATGGCTCTTTCCTAGATATGGCTGAGCGCAGATACCTTCAAGATAAGTGCATGCAATGATTTTTCGCCACCACCTGGCTTTCTTTCGTCAGTGGTCCGGTGCATGACCATGATGCATTAATAAATGTAAATTTTCCCGACTATTCATGATTATTGGTGACTTCGTGGGTGCATTTCGGCTATTCCACGTGCCACTGATGCGGTTTTTTGTAAGCTCTCTCTGATCACTAAATACCGTACACACCTTCCATAATTTCACCCTTAAAATCATTTTCTCGTCACATCTCTCCGTACTTTCAGATGGGTTAGTGAGAACGATCACATCTTCACTAACTAAATTCATGTTTAGCCTGCCCAAAGTCCTCATCTGTTTGCAAGTCTCATATTCTACCACTACCACCGTTTTTTTCAAAAAGTTGAATCATTTCTTCTGGCTGAGTGATTTCGATAATTATTCATCTCAAGGACCAGGTCAACTATTTCCTTTGCCTTCTCTACCTTCGTAAGAATAAAGATGCTATGGGCAATCACTGTGTGTGTAATCTTGCTGCGGTGTGTGTGTGTTTGCACTGTTGCTTACACCCTCCTATATACTGTTATCAGGATTTTCCCATCAGATGATAAGTGGGACCATTACTGGTCTTGGTTGACACGATGAGTCACCCTCCACGTGTCCCTGATGTCAGTGGGTGGGGGTTAGTATCATGCAAGGGATCTCATCCTCAAACCAAATTGAAATCAAGTCCTACAGCCTGTGGCCCTCGTTCGTGCTCCTATGCTACGAGTTGTGGCACAATAACTGGGCGATTTCTTCTCATACAGGCACGCGCGCCATTTCAACTTTTCTTGACCACCAATCACTACTGTGTGGAGGGCAGCACTAGCCTTTATAATCGTTTTTTCTCCACCTTTTTGCAGCAAACACTGAATGATAGAAGTTTACGTGGTCAGTACCAATATTAGGGAAAGTAGGGTTAGCATAACTCTAGAGGCCGAGTTTTTCATCGTTTTAATGTGTTCTCAGGCAAGCCGGTGTTCACTTTTCAAGGCCACTGCGAGTTGGCTGTGAACGGTAATCGCCACCAAAATCGCGAAAGTCAATGTTTGATGCTTTATGTAATCATTCTGCTGAATCTGCACTAGTGATGAAAGCTCCCCAACAATTATTTACTTTGAACCGGGATAAATTGGCCTATTATGGTCCTTTAGCGACAATTTATGTTCACACCCTGGATTCCTCGACTGAGGGGATTTAAGATTAGATTCTTCTTTAATTAACTTGGAAACCTACTTTTTACTGGTCATTGATGATAAGTACGCAGCAGCATTAGCGTTGAGACATCGGCGTTTATTTGATGGTTCATTGGAAACAAAGTTCCACGTAGACGTCGTTTCTGTAGATTCTACTTTGTAAACAGTATTGATTCCCTGGTTCCCTATTTGTCTTTATCATAAACAGCAGTTGTGCACAACTGCCCCGGCTTCATGTCACATGCATATACAAACTAACCCTCTTGCACACTAAATCGAATAAACAAAATTATGCTGGTGTTGTCTTCGAGGTTTTTAAACGCTGGGCACCTGGTGATTCAAGCATTGATAGTTCTACTCCACCATTAGAAACTCTTAAGTGGATGCCAATCTCGTATCAAATGTAGTGAGAACCCCTCAGTCTTAAAGTATTCCTGTTTTGGGAATTTCAACGGAAAGAGGAGCAGCAGAATAAAGGGCCTTCGCTAGATCTAAATGCGAGTTTTCGCACCTTACTGAGCTATATCATTGTATACACTCTTCAAACTTCTTTCCAAAGGGTCTGATAATAAATCACTACTAAGAAGTCACTGGAACGAATTATTTCGAATTGTGCTATCAATAATTTGAAGGAAATCTTTTTAAGCATGTACAGTCTTTCAAGTAAACTTGAATCAATGGATCATTTGTGCTCTACTTACTTTAAGTAGGTACTAGGTGGGTTTCAGAGTAACCTGGACAAAACTTACTTGAACCAGAACTCTTAGCGGATTATCTTTCTCGCCAAAGCTTTACATGTCCCTTCCACTGCAGTCCACTGTCAAAGGCTCATTTGTGAGCCAGTTCTCTGGATCTGTGTCAAAAGTCTAATTACTCCATTTGTGCACCACGGTTCGGGCCTTTCACGCCAACAGAAAAAGACTTTTATCTTACGGGGTAGTTTATATCCGTCCCACAGTTCAAACATTTCATTAGAATTTGATGAAGTTAGGAGAGGAATGCGGGTGCGTAGAGCGTTTTACCTTTAGGCTTAAAAAACTTCGAATGTATGGCGCCAACTGCGTTGAGAAAAGTTCTCTTATCAGGTGTTCTTTCAAGGAGGATTATCTGCAGCTCCTTTAATTGAGGAAAACAATTCTCTTTGTAAATCGATGTCTTCGACATATGGAATTGATTGGAAGCTGAATCTATCGGAGGTCGACTACAGTCCAGTCAATTACGACTAGGCTTCTTTTATGATTGTGACCTTCTGCCACAATCCTAAGAGAGGCCTGCTGTCTTTCAGTTTGACTTACTGTCTCTGTACCTTAAAATTTCCTTAGAAGGGCTTGTTTGATTGTTTCTATTAATCTTAATTCATGGAGCAGGTTATTTGTGATTGACTTGTACCAACCCTTGTATACCTCATTTCAGTTGCTTCTAGTCTATTTTATGGAAGTAAAATCGCATCATTTGATCAATTTGGACATTCAGTTAGTTAATCCAGAGTTGAAATCATTTGCGTTAAACTTTTGATGTCTCTCAGTGTTAATTACGGTATTTGAAACGATGAATGGAAGACGTCTCGGCGCTTACCTTAGCTTATAGTTGTGAACGTTTGTAGGTGGTCGTTTAATTGCCATTTTTAGCCAATAGGTGATGACTTGCTACTCCTTCTCTAAAGTAGTGTCCAACTACATTAAGAATCCGGTTTTTGAATAATTAAATGCACATTATCCTCGTTTCTTACACAATCTCTTCTTCGTCTCCACCCCTCTTTTGCTGATGAAATAACTTGATGAATGCATGAGGTTTCCAAAAGGCTATTTTAGTCTACAATTTATTAAAAGTTCAATTATGCGATTGCTCTTCTGTTAATATTGAACCAAGATTGTTGCAACGGCTGCTTAGAAATTCACGTACTTGAATTTGAGCTACTTTTGCCATAACTTTATAACTTTACAATTGAGACACCATATTGTTATTACCAGGTGATACAATGGTGACTTACTTTCACATTTTAGCTTGTTAGGTATGGATCTATTTATCCATTATGGTTGTTTTAATACTTTCAACTTAAGCCAATCACATTCCCCCGATTACGTCACTTGTTAATGTGCGCATGACAGATGCTACGTCAGCACCGCTGGTTGGTAGCCTTGCATTGCTGAACATCATTGGGTGCCTCCACCTAGAGTCGCGTGTGGGCTCACACGGTGAAACAGCTGATCGGGTGGATCACACACGCACCTCAACGAGAATTGCAAATACATTCACACGCCCATCTACACGCACACACAGAATGGCACAAGATGCATAGTCCCAATTCCAATTTTGGTGCCGGTTGTTTTATTCGGAGGTTCTCGTTGCGTAGGAAGAAGTGGCCTGATGACTACGTTGTCACGGGGGGCAGACTGAGCACCATAGCCAGGGGAAAGCACAGCTCCACTTCCTCCTCACCCGTTTCCCCCTCTTTTGCCTTCTCATCTTTCGCCACCGTCGCCCCTATATCACCCGCCCCTCTGCAACCGCTCACCTCGCATGCCCTTGCAGAGCTGCGGGCCCAATTCTCCGAGCAGCTCAAATGCCTCGACGCAAAGCTCGATCTCGACGTCACTGTGTTGTCGGAGCTTCACGAATTTTATCGTCGCCGGGCTCTCGTTGAACAGGATTACTCCGATGCACTAGCCAAGCTCGTAAACTCCCTCAAACATAAGCACTCTAATGAAACTGGAAAGTGAGTTCCTTCTTCCGCTTTAATTTCTTTGTGCGCACTCATCCTTGCCTCTTCGCAGCTTTGGATTGCCTGCCTTCGTAGAGAAAGCACAACACGGGATTGACAAGATGCTTCATCAGTTGGTCGGTGTTAGATCAACCATACTACGTTGTTTCTCAAACATTTATGGCTGTTTGAGGTAAATGTGCGGGTTTGATTGCCTCTGCTTGGCGCGTATTATTACTGCGAGGGTTATAACTCGACACAGGTGCGTGGTTACTATAACTGGCGAGGTGGTTGATCCTTTTGGCGAGCCTTTGCATTTCCGGTTGTTTTGGCTGCTGATTCTTCACAGTTAGCAATGAATTTTGGGTGTATTTTTAGAAATGAGCTTAGGACTAGAGAAGAGCCAAGTTTCCGCAAGTCAATTGTTAGAGTGGTGATGTTATTTCTGTAATTTATCTCTACCAAGTCTGATATTAACCATTTACTCACATTCGACTTTCATCAGATGGGAAGGTTTCGTTTCGTTTTCGTTCAATTTCATTGGCTTAAATATTTTACCGCTTTATTGCTCTGTTCAAATGACATCAACCGTTTTTTGCCCATAAACGGTTGAAAATTCGGTCTATACCATTCCAAAGTTAAAAAATATTTTAGGAAGAATTATCATTTGCGAAAGAGCAAATGGAGTAGCACTTTTATTCTTAGGTTTCATCTTGTCATAGCATTTAACCTTCATTCACTTTTCCAAAAATTGAAATTAATAGCTATTTTTTCCAATTAGCCACTGCTTACGCTTTTTTGAAGGCGACTCTTTGCACGATCCTGACATCAAATAAGGAATAAATTAGCCCACTCATAGCAGTTCTTATTGGGTATGAGTTTTTGGTTTGACTTAAAAAAAATATGAAACGAGCAATCCTATTTATCCATTATTCTATGGTGTTCTTAAGAAATTTCCCGCCATTAGAAATTATGCACAACCAAACGCTTATTTCAAATGTGATATTTTCTCGCATTGTCTTCTAGCAAAGTGATGTCCATTTCTTGAATATTCCATTCAACACTGCAGCTTAATTATACGACTCACGAATAGTTCTAAGTGACATGAGTAAAAAGAATGCGATCTTCCTTTTTTACCCTCTACTTGTCCACTACTTTTTTGGTCAGTGCCACTTCGTAGATAAGTCATGCACGTCAAATTCAATCATTTAGTTTATTCACTCTGTGCAAGCCGTGATGTACATGTTTTAGTAAAGACTTATGTATGGGCGCGAACAGCACACTCAGGTCCTAACATCGGGCCATTTTCACTTGTGACGAGACGGCCTCTTTGTTCTGTCTTCCCACTTCATGCAGGAATTCCATGATCCCAGCAGCTGATCCAGTTTCTTTTAACATACTCTTTAGTAGTCATTTTGTTTTTTGGTATATTTCACAGACTCCCACAGACTGGCCCAATGGTCCATGAGTATTCCCTACAATTTGACGAGGCTAAGTATCTCTCTTCACATTAATGATCGGTTTTACTCCATTTTCGCCTACTTTAGACTTCATCGCTAGTAACGCGTTTGGCAAATCGCTGTGGTGTGGTAGCTAGGTGCGCGCGAAGGTTAATTAACAGAATCAAAGTCAGTGCCGTTGTTTCCCTTCTGCAGCAGCTTTAATACAATTGTTGGTGCTCCTTGGAAAGGGCTAAATTTTATTTCAACAATCGAATCTTATGTTACCCGTTAATGAGGTATTACTAAACCATTATCTACTTTCTTTATGTTACACTGAATTATTGTGCTACAATGGTGCTCATGCATAATTCATGGAGCTTCTACGCGTAATTCTTATGTGTCGCTGTTAGCATAGAAACCGGCAATGCTCTTACGTAGTCTATGGGTTCCTTTACCTTCGGTGAGCTCAAGCCCGGCGCTCTGGCAAATGATCAAGATGTCCTTGTAGTTAGGGAAGCTATGTGTCTTGGTGAAAATACTTTTCATTCAGAGGAATGCTGTTCATTTAGCTTTATTTTGTTTAACATTTTTTGTAAAAGCATGTGCGATATTTTGTACATTTGTGCGATCTTTTTTGCGAATTTGATTACCCCTAAGGTGTAATTTATGACTGCGTTTGGATGGAACTATTGGCGGCTTTTTCTGTGCTGTTTCCACACTACAAAGGGCTAGTGGTTATATAGGAAGTGCGGAAGTATGTTATCCTTTTACATTCTTAAGTTACAGTATGACAGAAGTTTCTCAGTAGTGTTTTGTATGCACTAAATGACCTCATTTTCTATCTCCTACTTTAATGAGCATTCAGAGTTGTAGGGTGTTGTGATGTACATTTAACGCATCCGTCACAGGACTTATTGTGATCACGAAAGTAATCCCTTTAGGCATGCAGGAGGGGATGCATATTTGCCGCTTACTGGCTTGTCTCAGGATTTGATGGCTATCCAAGAAAGTGGTTATGTAGGCAGCCTAAAAAGCGCCAGCGTGTCAGTGAGTTTACCAGCAGGGGAGTGAAGCAGGAGCGGTGGGAATGTCTTACGGCTGATGACCTCAAAACTCATGTAGTTGCGACCTTACCCACAGAAATGCAGGTCGAGCTGGGTTAACGGTGCTAGTGGTGGCAGTCGTGGGGGTGATGACGACCAGTACCTGTCGGTGGGAGCACTTTGGTGTGTTTGGCTTTTTGAACTTCCATTCTGCTAAATTAAGATTATTTTTGATTTCTTTTGTTTTGTGATACATCTCGAACTTTAAGCTCTACAAAGTATTAACTTTGATGTTGACTTTTATTCTCTCAAAGCTCTTAAATTCCAATTCAATTAGACGCTTTTTTTGCACTTCATGAGCCAATCTTTTCTTAAAATTCCTCATTGATGAGAAGTTTTGAGCTTAAGACCAACTTTTTTATGCACCCAGTGCGTCTTTCTTAGTTGTTCCTCGACATTTAATGCTGAATCACCCTCTTTATGTCCCCACCAATAATAAAATACATGGTTTTAAAAGACTCATCAAGATAAAGTTGCTATTTTTTACTTAAAATGGTGCCAGTGCCTTATGAACGATGACAAGGTAATCGGAACACAACTCTGTTGGTCGCATAATTATGAAAGTCATAGCTGTTTAAACGGCTTTTGATGCCTTCACTTTTCTCTTATAAACGTGCCTAGATTTGACCGAAATCCAGGCTTGGAGCACTGATGGGAGAGGTATTTTTGTCGAGACTTATTAGACTTTTTCCTCTCAGGATGTCATGGTATTCTCATTTCTCGTCCCTTCACCATGAAGTGCCCCGCAGTGAATTCACCTCATCAATCTGGCTAGGGATACTATGCATTTCATAATCTTTATGCAATTTCATTTACTTCGAAGTTTTATTTGGTGTTTACTACTCTGGAGTCACCTAATGTTGGAGAAGTGCCTGGTTGTCTAATTGATGTCTATTATTTATTTGCCATCTTCATTTCTCTTTTGAGAAAGTTTGCGAAGATGAACACGATGTCTTTCGGTCCTTCGATGTTTTGGTGATGTATTTTCGTTTTAATTTACTAATAATGAAAGGCAATTAAGTTAGGATGAAATGATTCCTCGCTTGCACCAAAGATGTAACTGATATGTTCGCGCGAGCAGTCGAAAATCCCTGCGTCAGAATTTTCCATTTACTTCTTAAGCATTGCTCAAGCGATTCTAAATCTTTCACTTCTTGATTATTTTCTTAACTCAATCTGAAATGGTGGAGGCAAATGTGTGGACTTGTGTACAAAGACATTACTCTCATTGCTTGATCGTACGTGTAGAACTTCTGAGTGATGCTGTCCATAAGTAGCCGTTTCATTACGTTCATGATTCGTCCACTTAGAAATTTTGTGTAGAAGCTTGCTTGTGTTTGTAGTAAAATACATTTCTGCATGACAAAATTCTGCGGAGACATTGACATTCTAACCTAGCCATAAGCAAACTTTTGGATAAATTTTGGAAGCCAAAGTTTTTGGCCAAGGTGATGCCCGATAGGCGCCTAACTACTTTCGCACATGATTGGTTCTTGATGCGTGAGTCTTCGTCCAAGTGTGGGACGAATAATGAACCATCCACAGCAGGGAGGACGCCATATTCCTCAACCTTATTAAAGCCTTTTTGGATTTTACGTTTAAATGTGACTGAACGAATTTCAGCCATGCTAATCATTGCATTTTATATGAATAGACGAATCGGTATACTCCTCTAAATTGTATTTATGCTTTATAATAGGTCATCATTTCTCAAAAGAATATAGGTTTTTAATTTGAATTTGAGTTCTATTTGATCTCATTAAAATGGACAGATAATTTTTTTTTGTAGAAGTCCAGTTTTGCGCGTAATTTAGGTGTTTAAAAGTGCTTGAGGTTATGTGGTGCCAAAACTGATCTGCTATGCACTGCCTGCAGTCGTGCTCCAGTAAACAGCCGATCGCTGTAAGCGACACCTTACGTGCCGTAGTTTTGCTGTCAAAAATAACATTATTTCTTTTAGTAATGACATAAGAATCCCGGTCAATTTTGTCGAAGCCACTTATAGGTAAGATTTAAACGCGCTCAAGTGTCATCTTGTTCAATTGTTCATCGGTGGTACCCATGCTAGTAGACTTTTAAAGCAGGCAAACGTCCACTTGATAGCTTCTTTAAACGGCCGTGTGACTTTATTTTTAAAACTTGTAGTGAAATATTAGTTAAGATGATAACTTTAAGAGATTTGCGTTGGGAGGTGTTACTGGAGATTTTCCTGCAAGAAAATTTCGATTAAATAGGCCTAAATTTCCTATTCGACGACCTTAATTGCCTGTTAAACTCTTAATGCACTTTGACAGCCCAAGGTGACCGTGTATGCGCTAGATTTAACTCCTTACACTAGTCTGATGAGCCTTGCCAATTAAGTCTGGATTTTTGCGCCTACTATTGTTGTCAAAACGGATTGAGTACCCCTCAGGTGAGTGCAATCCAAGTAATCCAAAGAATTGTAAGCTCATCTTAAAGCATTACCATGATAGGCTCATTTATACATCACTTTGATGCCGCAATCTATGGTGGAACTAGATAACGATAGGAGCACCTGGCATATCGCATGTAGTGTACACGACAATAGGGCTTATTTGGTTGATAGATTGCCAAAGACTCAAATTCAAATAATTCCAAGTTGCTTATTTTTTACTGAAACAGCACACCTTAGCGTTACCGAATTCTTGGAATAGACATTTAGAAATTGGGACACTAAACCTGCATTCGAGAAGATTACGATAACTACTAGAATGTCTTTGGATGGATGATTACTTTGCGTGGAATCGGCAATGTGCAGTTGTTTTGCAGCTATTCAACGTTTTCTTGGTTACCGTTTTGTCATTTTTGGAATGGTAAAGGGTTTACTTAAGACTTTCCTGATAAAATCTGTTTTCACTTCATTATTTTTTGTGTTCCTATCTTCCATACAAGCTCCAATCGGATGAACCAACTATATGAGTGAATGATGGTAAACATTACCTCGCGAACGTGCCAACTTGATCTTTCACTAGTCTGTAGCATCTGTGTGATAATTCGTTTGTGTGTTGGTCACCATCGGTTATTAATTCGGCAGATATCTCTACTTGCTTGTTTCAAGCCTTAAAGATGTCCACGCCCTTCAGATGAAAGCGAAACAATTATACTGAAAATAGTGTGAATGCTACATTTTTGTTGTAGCTAACAAACCTTTACCAAGTCCAAGAAATTAGCTGCAAGCTTAATTAATGGTCTTTCAGTATTGCACTCCTTTGTAAAAACTGCTGATCGTGTTTCTATTGCTTGGTTAAAGCTGAAGACTTATCAGTGTATAATTTAAATCCGCTTTATTTACCCACGAACACCGTCAGCTTATCGGTTAAGTAGAATCGCAATACCCTGGCAACTGCTACTATGTTGCTCCGCCACGAAGGGGCCTTTGCACAGTCATTTGCTCTAGAACGCGTAATGAATAATTGAGGGCCCGCACTAGAGACCATTGAAGGTAATTATTCATGGCGAATATTTACGCGCAAATACAATTGAGTGGATAGTTGTCTCATCAACCGATGTGTTGGTTTACCATGGTCACACTTGGCCGCGATTTCACCCCTCCAGTGGCCCCTGCATCGACTGTCTTCTGCGGTGCGATCGTCCCTTCAACTTCTGTGAAGTTATATTAAGCGACGGAAAGGGTTTCTATGTCTCTTTTTGAATCTCCCACCTTTACAATTGTCCCCTTGTGACTAATTTGCTGGAGGCGCATTTTTCCCCCTTCCGGTTGGGCGTGTGCGCACACTTTTGTTTACCTTTCTGAATGAAAAAGTATTCCAAGCGTTCTTTTTTACCTAGAATTAGTAACTCAGCTATTCGTTGTGCTTTCTCTTTGCACCTCCAGAATAGCGAACTCCACTTCTTTTATTAAAACTGGAATTAAAAGCTTCCCTTGGGGTACCTATTTGGACCAAGTCGTTTTTTATATTTTTGAAACACTTTCCGTAAACAATTTTATCCACCAGCCCCATCGCATCATCCTTTTCCTGTCTGTGTTTCGACAATGGGGCACTTGGATTTTATAATTTATGCTTTTTTCATCAATTTCTATCGTATTTGACATTGGATTCCGTTGTCACACTTTGAGGTCATTTTTCCCATTCGAGAAGATTTATGATCGCTGCCGATTCACCTAAATCCTAATAGTCAACTAACCAATTTTTGGAAGCCTATTTCTGCGCATTGTGATTAATCTCAGGATAGTAGATTCTACGCCGAGAAATATGAAACGATTTACCTTGAGGTCGCCTCAGTGTTAACCTTGCTGTTTCACTTTTAGACGGCCAAATTGGGCAAACTACACCACCACAACACTATGGAATACCTTGCTGGGAACAACCCTCCATCTCTCTGATGTCCATGCCACCCTCTCGGAGATCTTTGGCAAGCATATGGTCCAGCGTTTTACTGATATGGACGAGGACGCGAATCGTCTACATAAACAAGTACATCGATTTTGTTGATCATTTCATTCTTGGAGTTAAGTCATTCTGACAGAAGTTGGGACCTACTACTCTAAACTCAGTGTCTTAATAGCAGCACTGGTACTTGAAAGACCGCGTGTGTACAAGTTAGTGCAACAATATTTCGCCCAAATTTGCAGTCATGCAATTGCTTATACATTTCTTAGCATCAGCTTGAGTATCAATTGAATCGCCTGTGGGAAATAGCGTTCTGCTCAGTAGTCGACCTACTTTATTTGATTTGAAACTCACGGTACTGCTTAGTAAACTCCACTTGTGGATCTTTCACGGTTGGAACGACGCTGGGATATTTTAACTTGTCAGTTGTGATTTTCTTTGGGTTATCTTCTTTAGAAATCCCCCCCCCCCAAAAAAGACGTTGAATTTCTAAACCGAGATGAGTCATGGGCTATCAAAATCCTAAAAAGCATTGGCAAATTCACCGACCCCCATGTTCCTTTTCACTTTACTTATCCCTCAGTTGAATCAGCTACCTACTCGGAATGGTGGAAACATGAGCAGGTTCATCGTCTCGCTTGCTATACCAGATTTGGTTCCTCAGTCTTACTCTCAGCTTGGCTTAGGGGCAGTATTGCAGGTGCATCATTCGCCCTTATTTTTTCGTTTTTACTCTGTGACCCAATTTCCACGCTATGCTACACACGCATCCATGCATGTGTTCTACGCAAAACCCCATAAAAGTACTAGCCTAAACTCAGGTCACAATACGGGGCTGCACCACGCTTGACTCTCTCTCAAAGTGGCACCTCAAGTTCTTGCATGGGTTTCGGAATGCTTGCACCTCTGAGGTCGCAAGCATGCGGATCGGTCGTACGAATAGCGCAGCGCCACCACAAACACGCGTGTTAGTTGTGCAATCGTTGAGTACAGACAATGAGAATGTTCGAGGCGAGCATTTCGACCCCATGTGGTTGAACGATTGGCACCGGGTTTGCAAGCGCAAGCAGCGATCTGAGCGATGGTTGCCAATATTTGGTGGTGCCGCAAGTTTTAGCCATGACCCAGATGCACAGCTGGCCACATTTGCATCATGCACATGTACCCAAATCGGTGGATTTCCAAATCTGTTTTGCCCAGCGGATAGGGTACCGTTTTCATCAGCGACTTTGGTTTCCTCTTTCACACTCGGGTTCCTGTAGTGCAGTTAACAGAAATCATCCCATTTCAAATGATGGAGCTCAAATGGCACTGTTAGTAAAATGGAATGTGCGCACGTCATTGTACTTTAGAGAGGAGGGACTTCGTGAATTCCCTTTTTATTGCCCCACATGTTCGATGATTAGTGTATCCAGATGTTCTACTGTGTAGATTCTATCCAGACGAAAAGGATTGAAGGATTATGCAGTCCATCTTAATTGTATTTTGAGGCAATTTGTATTTGTGCTATGAACTTAGCGTGCGAAATATCGGGACTAAAGGCTTTGTTGCAATTTACACCTTGATTACAAGCACGTTCCTATTAAATTATCCTTTTAATGAATAAAGCAAGCGTTTTGATGAAGTATCTTGAACTTGTTGCGTCAGCGAATATGAGTCACACACCCTGCAGAACTATAAAACGTACTTGACACCATTTTTTGAACACTGAAAGTCAATTTGGGTCCACTTGCAACAAGTGGGGTGTTGGAGTTTTATTGTTTCTCCTAAACCATCAACGGTCTTGACGATGAAAACTACTCAATAAAGTAACGTTTAAATGTTTTGTGACGTCAGTTGATCTGTAACTACTTAAGGTTTGTCGAAAGTGTCAGTAATGATTCTTTTAGAAATCAGATGAATCGGCCATCTCATTTGCGTTCTCCACTTTACCGAAGGGGCGATATAACGTTATTTTGCAGTTGGTTGGAAGTTGTGTCATACACAATCCACATACTTTCCCAGCCATAGTAAACATTCTCACTGTCCCAATATTCCCCCCTATTTCAGGGGTAATAACACTTTATGTTTTTAGTAAAAAAAATTACCCAACTCTCTAAAGGAAAGCCACCTAATAATAACCAGTTCAGACATCTTAATTCTTTGGAAGGTGTACAGGGTCTGTAAGTGATTTGCCTTCGCATCACGTGGCTAAATTTAGCTTCCTACGTTTTTGTTAAGATCATTTTCTCCTTTCTAGTAAGGTAAATTTAAGTAAAACGACAGTTATTAATCATAAATCATCTTAATTTTCGCAGTGGTACTTGAACGAAATAATAATTTTATTTAAGTATTGAAATTGACATCACAGGTACGGGTATAGTATGAAACTAATTCAGCTTACCGACATTTGACCAGATGTTGAAACCTCGGTTAGGTTTGCAATGATGCGAGACCTATTTTTGGAATGAGAACTTTTGGCCGGCTTAGGCCTGGAATGAGGTCTTTCTTTTAATATGCATATAAAGACGTTTGTGTCTGTGCGTGCAGTGTAGGGAGATGATGGTGCACTGCCAGGAGAAGGTGTTCGCCAACATCTCCAAGCTGCAATCCGACCAGCGAGAGTACGGCCAGCGCCAGAGCACTCAACTGGACTCCGACCGCATTTGCAAGCGCAGTGAGGAAAAGCTCACCGCCGTACTCGATTACATCCAGTCGAAAAAGAAGGAGCCGGAGAAGAGTCAGAAATTCCGGCGTGCTCAGGCTGACTACAATCAAGTGCGTCGTTTTGCTCCACACTACCCTCTTTCTTGTGCTCTGTTCAACAAGGAAAGATACGAAACAGTGAAAATAAAGTTTATTCTTATATGTATTGAAAAGTGCACAGGAAATTTCAATGTCGTTTTGTTGTTTGCTGATATTAAACTCTCAGCAAATTGTACTGCTTAGTTATTTCGTCACTGGTGTAATGATTGGCTATAATCATTGTTAAGTTTTGGAGCGCAGTGATATTGCTCTACCTTGGTGCGGGAGTTCAAATGGCTGCGGTGGGTCATCAATTTGAAATAACTAGTATTTAGCGTTATTTCTGCTCCGTAAAATTTCATCAGAATTTTGACTTCGCGTCATGGGACACCTAATTGGTGTGAAGATGCACGGGTTAACGGTCTCTTTTCTATTAGAACCAGTCATAATGATGTGGAAATCATGTAAAGTCAATTGGATGGACCCTTGTACGCGTGTTTCCCATGCCTATTTTCTTACGCAAATGGAATATGGGTTCTTGCATTTTTCAACTAGAGCATTTGTGTGTGCTTACAGAAATACCAGGCTTACGAGAACACAATTCTGGCAACCAATCATGCGCGCAACGAGTATCTCATCCAGCTCTCTGCTGCCAATCAAAGCATTCACCGCTACTTCACTGACGAGGTTTCCGATATTTTCGACGTGAGTTACCTTGCACAGTTTCAATGCTCCTGCAAATCCTTCCTGTTCAGATGAGAAACATATGGTCTATGGTTTCTGGCGTGTGTGTAGACTGGGAAGCAAGAAGTAAGCTTATTCAGGCTCATCCCTTTTCCACCACCCAGTGCATGAGTTGTGGCCTGCATAACAGCCTGGCGCGCGCAGCAATGATGCATCTGAGTTGTGAAGAGTCAGTGAAGAACTACCACGGCTCTGTGGGCGAGATGATCAACCGCAACATCACTGCACTCGACTGGCGCGCCGACAAGGCCACCTTCCTACGACGTAATGAGGTCGCTTTCTCCCGACCACCCGCCTTCTCTTTCCTCCCCTTCAAGGACGACTGTGTAAGTTCCCAGTCTGTTTGTCTGACCTTTAACACTCTCTGATAGTCGGCGCTTAGGAACCATCCACTTAGGATATCAGGCAAGGCCTGTACATCAGATTTACGCGGTTTTTGTTAATAGGAAACCCTTATTATTCATCAGAGTCCATCGTCACTTCCTACGGCTTTGCTTCGCTAAGCATTTTGCTTGTGGAATCTTTATAATCTCCTGGTTAAAGTCTGCCTCCTTCAGACACTTAGTTATTGCAGAAAGGCAAATGTCCTATGGGAATCTTTGCCCACTTCGAATTTCGTTATCAAAGTTGCAGTGCTTTTATTGCTAAGATAGCTACCACGAGTACTGACGAAGCTATTGTTTTTACGAAAAACTTGGTTTTTCCTAGGAATTTGTTACTCGAATTGTTTAAGTACGTAGAACCGTTTCTTTCCTTTATTTGGAAGTGAACCAGAATTATGGCGGTGTTTAGAATGACAAATCCGTCAGTTAAAGTTCAGTACCCTCAACTATGAGTGGAATCGAACTTTGTGACGGAATCTATGAATGCTACTCAAGTTGGTGAAAATTCAGAGGCATTTTTCACGGTTTGGGATAAGGGAACTCCTGTTTAATCCATTCGGAGGCTTTATAGTATTAATGATTACTAAATAAGATTTCTGATTCATTCAGTTTACATGGCAACTCACTAATCCCCATGGTAATCTTGAAACAGGAAGAGTTATTTTTAGACCTTTTACTTATTTTGATGGCTCAAGGGACCTTTGATGCGTTGCATGAATCACTAGAATATAATGGACGGATTAAACCATTTCAGTTCTGAGGCACTTGCACAAACTTTATGTATGCATGTTAGGTGTCCTCTATGTAAATGTAGAATGTTTTTTACAACCTTTAATAATGCTAAAGTACTTCTATGTTCACCCTTTAAGGAGTCAGACGTGATTGCTGTCCCTCCACTCCGCAACAGTTTAGCCGCAACCGCTGCTGATCTGCGGGCCAACCTCGATCAGCTAAAGGCTTCAACAGAAGAGGCCTGGAATAATCTGCAAGACGTAAGCTAATGAACCGCTTCCTCGATGCTAGGGGTTTCGGGAACTTTTTAAGCTCAACTTCTTGCCTAGGCAGTTCATATTCTAGGGTTAACCACTCACTGAAACATATTTCCGGTTTAATGTGATTTACTCCATTCTATTCATTACACCAGAGGTTTTCTTAAAACCTATGGGTACTAATTATTATTTAAGTAAATGTTTATTATATTTATCGTATGTGGCATTCCATAGTTACATTGCTGTGTTGATTAACTATGTAAATGTAACTGGAATATTCCGCATATAAATATCCCACGTACGCGCATTTCATTTAATATTACTATCACGGGCATAGATACAGTGACACTCGGTTTGTATCAAGTGTTTTACCTGAAATTGCAGCTAATTTTCTACCTTTTGGTACAGCTAAAGTGGTTTTGTTAATCTCGCCTCTCTTGATGATCAGTAAATAAATCGTATTTCGCTGAGCTCACGCAAAGGTGTCAAAGCTTGTGGAACCCATTGACTTAAAATCACGCGCGCCATATTGGATATGATTCAGTAAGATTGGTTGATTTACGTTACCCATTTTCTTAAGATCGAGAAGAAATTGTTGGTGCTGATCAATCAGAATGACTACGACGTTTCCGAGTTGTTCGCGGACCCCACGCTGTCGGGCAGGCGTCGGCGCCGCCAATCAGTCAGTCCGGTGAACGGTGAGTCCGGGAGGCCCGTTCCTCCCAGTCCTGCCACAAATGCTGGTGGACCTGCTGCTGCAGCCTCCTACACCTCGCTCAACAAGGGCAGTGGGTTTGGAAGCGGTGGTGGCTTTGGCGGTGGTGGAAATACCCCGCTCTCCTCCTCTCTGCCACCAGAGGAGATGGGCTCTGAGGCTTCCGTGGGCTCCTCCGGCACTGAGATTCAACCCGGGCTCTACTTGACCATGCGCAACGCTTACCGGGAACAGCGAATCCGAGAGGAGCGCATCTATATGGAGGTGGACACAGTTGACATCGTACAGGCTATAAATATGACACGTTGTCGACTATCACAAAATCAGCAAGATTTTGTGACTGTTGCAACGGTCTAATGATCATATTACTCCTCGTAGTTCAAACCGAATGCGCGTGATGAATTAGTCTTGATCAACTAATCATGTAGCTTAAAGCTTTGATGAGGCTTACCAAACTAATTGAATCAATTTATTTTGAGTTTCTCTAAACTGGCTATCCGAGATTCCAAGTAATTCATATCGATTCCGCTTTGTAGCGGTTCTCCGCATACACACAAGAAATGCATCGTTGTGTTGTGATGCAAGCAAAGCTAGCAGAGATCGAGCGTGCTCTAGCAAACCACCGGTCAGCAGCATCGCCAACGTCCACGAAGGGGCCTCCGTCCCGCCATCCCCCCCTTTCGTTATCGCCGTCGGTGCAGCTGCGGTGTTCACCCTCCCTCTCCGCGACCCCTGGTAGTGGCGGTGGTGATGCAAACCTGACGGTGGCTGCATCCACACCATCGAGTGAGACAGGTCCGGAAACACCGTTTTGGGCACCGCCGCCTCCACCGCCCGCCACTACGCCTCCCTCCACCTCTATTCCAGGTTCTGCTGCAGCCACTGCGGTGCAGCCAGCCGCTCTCGTGAAATTGGCCACTCGCCGTGTCCTCCAGGTGCCCAACGTTGGTCGGCCCAAACTCTTCGGTGGCACTATTGACGAATACGTCACGAAGACGGGCGAACAGATTCCCCGTGTAATGCTCTCTTGCATTCGTGTCATCAACCTCTACGGTAAGTTTTAAATTGTTACTGAGGCTAATTTAAGTGCTGTGTAATTCATCCACTCATTCGTAATCGATCAATTACCTCTAATGGGTGAATTCAAGTGATTCTTCTGGAATCGCGCAACTTTTTGGAAATAATATTGTCATCGTCTCTCACTGTGATGCGCTTCTTTGAAAATCCAGTAACAGTTTTACATTAAAAAAATGATCGGTTTAGAGCACGTACTCTTTAGTCAACTGCGATCGCGTTGTAGTAGGCGGCGTTTGACCGGTACGATATTTTGAAGGTATGCACCACCAGGGTGTGTTTCGAGTTCCCGGCAGCCAGGCGGAGATCACCAACTTCAAGGAGGCCTTCGAGTATGGCGAGGACCCTCTGGTCGGCCTCTCTGACGCACGCAACATCAATTCGACTGCTGGGCTGTTGAAGCTCTACTTCCGCGAGCTGGGAGAGCCACCATTCCCCAAAGAAATATTCATGGAACTCGTCAAAACTGTTCGAGAAAGTAAGCTAATTTTCCCTCGTTCGTATATGTATGCTAGCTAATGCTTGAGATCATGTATTTTTAATTCGTGGATGTTGCCAATATGGTGCCGCATTTTGGATATGCTTTGGGGGTATTTTGTGAATTACTTGGTTCTCAGTAGTTATTTACCTCTAAAAATTAAGCAAGTTAAATACACACGCGTTTGGTAATTTTGAATCGATATTTATATCATAGCCGCTATGAAAATTCACAAAAATTCCTTGTTTCCTTGCTAATTTCTGTAAGCATCCGCTGAAAAAATCCAGTTAATAACACTGTTTTACATGCACTTTTTAATGAACAAACACGATCCCCTTACAACACCTTTTTCTTCCTTAGAACGCGATTGCGAGGAGTGTGTGGATCGCCTTGCATCGATAATTTCTTGCGGTCTTTCGCATTCTGTATTTATCGTCATGCGCTACCTTTTTGCATTCCTTAATCAGTAAGTAGCCCTCCAGCCTCCTCATGCATTCATTTTGAAAATGATGCGAATTCAAACAAAGCTTTATGCACTGTCACTAACGGCCGCTAAAACGCAGCGAATTTGGAGTCCTGTTTTCTGTATGTGATTGGTTGTTTTTGTAGCCTCGCAGAGTACTCTGATGAGAACATGATGGATCCCTACAACCTGGCAATCTGTTTTGGACCGACCCTGATGCCAGCACCGCCGGACATCGATCAGGTGGAGTTCCAGTCCAACGTGAACGACGTGGTTAAGCTGTGTATCAACCACCACCGGCGCATCTTCGACCCCACAGTGCCTGGTGCGTACTACGAGAAGTTCGCCGCCTACGCCTCCGCGGTCCCTCCAGTGCTGCCGCGCGCCATTGCTAGTGAGGCTGTCAAGAAGGTTTGCAGTCTGCGCCGTCAGGCTACCGCCTCCACTGCAACTGCGACAGCAATAACGGGCCAAGAGCCTCTCGATAGTGGTTCTCAACGTAGCCCCTATGTACCGGGAACCAACACTTCCGGGGTAGCTGCCACTGTGGGTACGTCCTACAGCTCCAGTGGCAAACATACGTAAGTTAATAGTAACAGTGTGAAGAAGCTCTTTTATTTAATTTTCTTCCTATAACATGGATTTGATTTAACAGGTTTATTAATCGAGCTTTTAGGTATTTTCCCCAACTCCATATAGGTTTCAAAATAGCGCTAATTTTTTATTTTTGATGTCTTTTGCCATGATTTGTACAAATACAAGCGCTCTGCCAAGAGTGTGATCTGGATTTTTATGCATTTGCTTTTTTTTTCAGTACGACCAGGTCCCATCTTACTTGCTTCCCATGTATTTAGGGGCTTCGTTTCTTCGACGGATCGACTGTCACTCGACGATGAACTTGATGATGATAACGACGACGAATTAGACTCGGACGCTGAAGGTAAATCGAATTTGGGGCTCATAATTATGCGCCATTACTTTAAACTATATGCGAAATTAGTAGCCTAAAGGAAGGCAAGAATGGGACGTTTTAATTGTGTCATGCGTGGCAGTCTTATTTTATTCACAACGAATACCTAATGTCAACTTCTTTTCTTTTCCTCCCCTCTTTCTTTCCCCTTAATTCGCTCTCTTTTTATCGCAATAATTTTTAATGCTCACCCTTTGGTCTATGAAAGACGAGATTACGTAAACTGTCGCTTCTACCCTACCGCAATCCCAACAGTCCCCCCTTTAGAGGAACGAGCCATGTCTCTATTCCCTTATTTGTATGTGTGGCACTTAACTAAATCATCTGCTTGATCCTATCGCCACCCGCACCTCCCGGGCAGGCTAACCCCCTCTACCACCCCTTCCTCTGGACCCCGATTGTATACATAATCCTCCCTCACATGAAAGACCTAACTTTGATTGTGCGCGTGATTTGGGTGCGCGCATCTCACTTGATGCACGCGGGTGTGCGTACACGTACTTCAAAGTGTGCATGTGAAATCCACTTTAATCCTCTCCATTTTTGGTTTAGGTAAGCTGAAATTTGAAATAAAACCAACCTGTTTGCTACGCCTCACTTTGAATTTAATCGATTGGTGGGTGATGCTAAAGCCGTTAGTCGTGCTACTTTATTCAATAGATCTCTGAATACATTATCTAACTGATAAAAATTACTTTATTGTTACTGAAAAAAAAAACAATTTTAAACAGGGAGTGGTTTAAACGCTTCATCCAAAAGTCATTGCAGTGTATATGGATATTCCCATTTGTTATTTCGCCTGCGATAGCCCTGATTGCTTTGCATGCCACCAATGCGCATAATTTAACAACATAGCCACAATCATTATTTTGGTCTCTCCTAGTATGATCGTTCAGTTCTGTTTAAAATTCAGACATTACAGGCATCAGACTAGGACGGGAAATCACGAGGGGTCTGCATTTGACAAACGGTAGGTCATTCATTACAACTGCTCGATGTCCTCATCTAATTACACGGGAGTCGCACTTTTCTTTAATCATAAGATGATACCATGATAATCAACAAAAATCATGCTAACTTTAACACCCAATACTTAAGTTCGATTTGCATAGAAGTGTACGTTTTTGTCGAATCCTTTTTGTACTTAGCGAATCTTTGAAACCTGATCAAAAAGTTTTCGATTGCACTTTTGGACGAATAATGTGAATTATTAAGTGAATGTAACTTGATCATGGTCTCACCAGATGTTCTCCCGTATAGCACACACTTAAATACGATCTTCCATCCTTTCTACTTGCATTTTATTAACAAATAACGAAAAAGTGCAATCTTCCAGGGTATTCTGTAGAGCTTATAGGTGTCTTTCGGTAATACACGTGAGCTTGGTTGATCCGAAATACATAAATACGCGTATGACTCGACTTTCGAATGCAAAGCTGCTGTATTGATAATCGTAGTACGTAGGAGGCAGTGGTCGAATGCACCGAACTGCGTTGATTGCAGATGATGATTCGCATCCGCTGCACGCAACCGCGTTGGCGAGTTTCGTGGGCGCCAGCGCTCGCGAGCTCTCTTTCCAGCGAGGCTCAGAGCTCTTGCTTTACCGTCGCCTCAACGAGCACTGGTGGGAGGGGCAGGCGGCTGCAGAGTCTGACGGACCGCGCTACCTCGTGCCGCATCTCTACGTGAAGCTGTTGGTCGAGGGTACCACACCCCCATCCATCCCCGCCCGCGATCCTACCACCACCGACGAGAGTACCGGCGGCGTTGACGACGATGCTCCTCCCCTCTCCACGTCCACCCTCATCACCGCCCCTGCTGCTTCTTCACCGCCGAAGAAGCCGCTGCGTCACTCCCTCACCTTAGGCAGGTCTACTCATCTTAGCGTTAATCCAACTAACTCTGAAAACTTCCTACTGTTTGTGATAAAAGTTTGGCTTCATTTGCGCAATCCAAACATGCGATTAGCCTAACATGTCGACCGGGTTTCTGCAATTCAGGTAACCATTCCCTCCATTTTCGGATTATCACTTCTGTTAACTTACCAATGGTTCTGACATTTTAATGTCCACTAACAGCTTAGGTTTATAATTCGCATGCACTTAGTCTCTTTAAAATATTGACTGAATTCTTGTTCACACCCTTACGGTGTTATCCAGTAATCATTCAGAGGTGCCGCGAGTTTATCGTATGGCGAATTTATTTGTCCCAGAGAATTAACCCGAATCTTGGGTTTAACGATTTGTTGGGAACGTGGACTAAATTCTCGGAGTTCCTAAAATGTCACTTGGGATGTTTTTGGTTTGGTTTTACCCTAAATTTATTCAAGCGGGATATTACATTGGGCTTTTAACAAGTTGGTGAACCAAAATGATAAACTCCTCTACTTATTCTTTGGTAACTTTGATTTTACCTTCATTACAAGCAGTTACTCCGGTGCTTAAATCAAACGCTAGCGTTGAATATTTGCTGTTCACATTGAAGAGACCACAGCTTGATTTGGTAAGATTCCGCGGTACGGGAATTTTTCATTTATGTTGAAAACAATATGCAGTCATGAACCTCTTCAGCTAGTTCGTGTCGGGTGGGTGTGGTTTCGAATTTTAACAACGTCAAAATCAACAAATCCAGACGTTGAGCTTAACGAAGACCTTATTTACCATGAAAATATCTGATTTAAGCAAACTTGTTGATCCTTTATCGAATCTACTATCGATCACATGTTTCGAGACAAGGTCAGGGAGTCATTTGTATGATTCTCAGAGGGCTAGTGTGGTTCTCAGAACGCCCTCTACCCCGGATTTTTCCGCTTTCAGCCACATCCTCCCCCACAGTCACTACACCTGATTTCCACAAAGGCGCTACTCATGGGGCATCGTCCACATCAGCCGAATCTCGAAGTGTGACTTCGCCCACCGTTTGCAAAATCGAGTTCGGCAATGATGACGTGGAGACTTCTCTCGAAATGGACAGAAAAGACTCTGCTGATGAGGATAAAAAGATTGATGATACCAAAAGACACACTTTAACGGATGAAAACGAAGTCAGTGATGAACAGGAGTCGGCCTCCACCTCTTCCTTTCCCTCCCTCATAACTCGATCAATGAGCAACTCTCCACCCCCTGTATCACCCCAAAGGCGAGCTGGCAACCGATGTTCGTGGTCAGAAGCGCCCACCTCCTCTACTTCCGCCACTCCAGCCACCTCGACAGCGCCTGGTTTGGAGACTCTGCCGGAGGATAGACTCGCCAATATTAAACCCTCACTGAGATCTTCCACCGCCGAGGGTGCCGAAGCCACCGAGCCCTTTTCAACCAGCAATGGATCTCTCATTCACGTTGATTCTGCTCTTGCCGAGGTGTGCAATTCCCTCACGCACATTGAATATTAACTATTTGATTTAAAGAAATCAGTGCTAAAAGTCTGTAATACCTAGGTGATGCATAGCATGGCAAGCCTGGAGGATCAATCGCGTGAATTGGAGCAGAAAATTCGCCTTCTCTCCGCGGCCAAACACACTCCCGATCTCGTTCTTGGACTTCCGGATCGTCCACAGCCGCCGAACTGGGGTCGCACTCCCAGCAGTTCGAAGGAGGAAGATTCCTCAGGACCTGGCAAGAATGCTGCGGACACCTTTGCTGAACAGGCGGGCGGCACAGTTCGCAAGCGAGTGAGCACGCAATTGGCCCACTTTGCAGAGCCATCGAGGCCACTGATTACGTCCGCTTCGCTCAGCAATGACCTCGGCTGGTCCGAGTCCGCGCCTAAACCAGTCGCTACCCCCGCTACATGGTGGTCCACAAGGAAATTAATTTCTCAGACAGAGGAAGAGGGTAGGGATGGTGTGATGAGCAAGTCCTTTGTGAGTAAGAACAAAAGTGTGGAGAAGGAGAACGTGACAACCACCAGCGCCACTGACTCACCGGTTCCAATCAAGCGCGGGTCGATAGCGGCTCGCGTCGCAGCCTTCGAGGCCTCCACCAATATCGGCAGTTCCACAAGTAGTACCTCAGCTCGTCCCAGTTGGGTGAAGAAGACGTAAGCTGACGCGCATGCACGTACAGGGAAGCGGCATCTTAATGGCTATTAGCCCGCACTTTAACCACCCACTTCAACTAAAACCATCACTATATCCTTGCGTGCCACTGCTGAAGGCAAGTTATAAATTCTTTCCGACGTGGCCAACTCTTGTAAACTACTACTGCCCGATAAGCGGGTCTCCACACTTCTCTTCCTCCAACCCACGGTTCCTCTCTCCCTTTTTTATGCCGAATTACTCAAATATATGCATAATTTCAATTGAATTACACTTCTTAAAAGAGCATGAAAGCAGACGACAAAGTAACCTGTATTATTTGCTGCTGGGATGGGAGCGCGTTTTACTTGGTAACAGCGACTTTCAAATGCCAACTGCTAGGCTAAACAAGCAGACTGATGCCCGTTCGCGGGGTCCCATCTGGCAAAATGTGAGTAATCAACTTAACCAAACGGTCTCGAGCCGCGTTACTTATTGATGCGTGTCTACGCCAAGGAGCGTTGTAATGAGCCTTGGCTCGACTGACCAAAGACAACTAATAGAAATGCAAAGAGGGTCTCGAAACAATGAATCTTTACTGGGGAAATTGGGTCGTAGTTTTATACAGGATACCAAATTGGAGTTGCTTAGTCCACGAGAATCAGCTCATCCAGATTCCAGTCTTCAAAACTCCCGTCGGGCAAATAGCGCCTGATAATAATGGGAATTTTGTTAGCACGTAGTTCCTTCTCGGCAATTTTGAGGGGATCACGTTCCCCACTCAACTCAACCATGACTGGGGCGGACATGGAAAGCTGGAGGGCGCGAGCACCCAACACTCGAGCCCGTTCGTACTTGGTCAGATAGGGTGTGGTAATGCGCTTACTCTTTTCTACTGGGCCAGCTGGTGGCATGCTCATCCCAGGTTGGGTTCGTGGTGGTTCACCCGAAGTTACGTAAGTGACATTATCTAAATCACCCAAAGCGTCAACCATGGGGTCGATTGGTAAATTAAGCCAATGGAAATACGCACATGCAGAGAACGACTTTAATTCAAGGGTAAAAATGAACTATGAAGCAATACTTAGCATAGAATAATTCAAGGAAAGTTGAGGGCCGCTTGATATAGCTTTGGTCACTTAAAAAGTTAAAAAACTTCTGTAATGCCATTTGAAACAAGTTACGAGATCAAATGCTGCACGAACCTGCATTTGTTTCAGCCTCCTCTTCAATTACTTCCTCAAAGGCCTCCTCTTCAGACTCAAAATCCGCACCTTCGTATTCTTCAGCCATGACTCTAAGGCGGTCAGAATGGCCTTCACAAAGAGGCGGAAAATTACGAGGCATGCCCAGATAGAATGTATCAAACAAAGTAACTAACGTAGAACAGCAGTGAAATTTAGTCTGTTAACAACCCATAAACTGCAACAGTGCCTAGTCCATATATTTTCAAGTACCTTTATTTGTTTTTCTGATCCAAATTAATGCTAGTTGTATTATCTTGATTGGCATACGTTTGCAGATATCCAATGTAATTAGAGTGACTCTTAACCATCCTTCAAGTAGGCATGGTATGATACGTATTGTAACGTGTGCACAGTTAACTTCATCCCTCCAGCCCCCTACATATTAGTGAAGAGATTTACCGGACTGTGTGTCTTTTTACAATTCTAGAAAAGACCTAAGTCTTTTGCAGTAAGAACGGCTTGATATTGGGAAGTTTTGGACTTCAAAATAAACCTTATAATATCTATAAATATGCTTCAGAGTAACTTAAGCCAAAGACTAGAAGACGTGTAAGAATTTGCTTCTGTGGACTACTTCATCCATCCTTTTTTAGGACCTTTTTGGCAACCCTATGATACATAGGCTAGAAATGCAATTTTGTTTAAATGTACAACTTTTTGCTTGCCATATTCCATTGACTGTCTTCGGGTGATGCATAGTGTTAGTCGTCGTTCGGCCAAGCTTCTGGTCTCTTCTTGGCTCTCTGAGGAATCTTCGTATAGTTTGCCAGGATATGATCTAGAATCTTCAAAAACTGTACTCGTTATTACAATGAAAACGTCGGGTTCGTTAGATTGATAGTTTGGCGACTATTTTCCTGATACTAAAGTCATTTGCTCCGGAATCACTTTGGAGCCTTTCGTTATTGTTTTTATAGCTGTGTTCTCGCTTAGTCTTTGCAGTTATTCTAGCAGATTATGCCTTTGTCATGCCGAAAGGCTATACATATGTCTTCACTAGGGGTGTTGGCTGGTGTTCCGTTCCTGGACGCCCTGGCTGAGCATCTTGGTTGTGCGATTGAGTGGCATGTAAAAGAAGGAGAAATGCTGCCTAATGGAAGCGTGAGGGTTGCGTCGATGACAGGGGCTACTGCTGATTTAGTTCATAGCGAGCTTTTGATAAAAAACATTCTATCGCGTGCCTCAGGTATCGCAACATTTGCTTCAAGGTAAGGGCAAATCCATCTGGGCCTACCATTCGATAGACTTAAGCGGTTGTTAGCTGATTCCTCATGGGGAGGAGAACTTGTGTCTCCCTTTACACACACTCCGGGCTTCGCTCTTGTTGAGGAATACGCTATGTTTGTTGCTGGTGTTCCAAGCTCGAGAAACTTATCATCGGTTCTCTTACCTATGTCACATGTTGAGGCGGCTGGTGGCGTTGTGAATGCAATATCTGCCATTAAGGCCAAAGCTGGCAAGAACACGCATATTACTGTTGAATGCGGAAGCTTGGATGAGGCAAAGGCGGCGGCTGAAGCCGGAGCTTCTTCTGTTAGGTTCGAGAGTTTGACTGTGAAGGTGGGCTATTTTGGCACTAGCGTTGATGTTTTTTTTAGGAGTTGGGGAGTTTCTCGGCTGCATTGAAATCAGTTTATTCGTCTCTAATCATTGAAGCATCGGGGAATTTCGATGAAACAACTTTGCGCCAATTCCTGGTGCCAAACGTCGACGCCTTAACGACGAGGAAGATGTTCAGTGGATATCCGGTTCTTGACTTTATTTTAAGCTATGAGACGGGCAGCTTAACCCCAAGTACATCTCTGCACGTTGGGTCACAAAAGCGAACAATCGGTAAGTTGTTTAACACTTGGCACCCAGCGCTTTCTTGTTTCTCCATTCCTTTCATTTGCTACAAACTTCGTCTGTATGATAAATTATTTTCCCAATAGTCGCTCAATCGTAGTCCTAGGTTTATTTCCCATCCTCGAACATCTGAACCCTTTCCTCTTCTACCTCTGAACCCACTAAAGTGCTCAATTTGACCACGACATGACCTCAGAAACATTCTTTAAGACGGAACTGTTGGACTAAGTACTAAATACTTTTTGCGGAATTTAGTTAAACTCTGCGGGCTTATTTGCCCATTCCAATGCTGGAGACGATGTCTTCGAAAATGCATTGTGCAATTGATTTCAGTATTTCTTTCACCTGTTGACTATTTTTGGTTGTAAAAAAACTAGTCATCGTTCCTATTAGCAAGGGAACTAATATCACCGCACTTATAGGAGGCATATTTGCCGAATTAAGTAGAGCAAGTGTCACAAAGCTAAAACAGCGGCGTTCGATTAATAGCTTTCATATTAGCATCACGGTACTCTTTTTAATTGCTGGTCCTAAAAGATCTTTTTCCATCAAATTTTCCCGAAATACTTGTATATCATGGAATTTCTAATTTCCTCTTCGCGTTCACCGGTAACAGTCACGTACGATTTCCCCGTTATTTCTATAATACTTTCTTATCTTTTAGGCAGTGCCATTAAACCTGTGAGTTTTCATATAAGCTTCGTGGAGTTGAGCACTTTCGATGGTGGTTTTTATAGTAGTTACAAACATTGGTCAGATTGTTTGGAATCAATACCATCCCCATGCATTAAAGACCTGGTTTAAATCACCCGCATAGTGCGTCACTTCTCATGTGTGATATTTATGCTTTTTCAAATGAATGTTTTTAATTGACCTTATCTCGAGAGAGCCTTCCCTTGAATGACTCTTAATGCTCGTTTCCTTTTTCATACTGCTTAGGTACGATTGTATGGTCAATACTTTTCCTACTTTCAGTAGCCTTCTGGGTGCGCAAGTGCGCACTGCTATTAAAATTGGAATCATGATTATTACCAGATCATTAAGAAAAGCAGGGATGCGTATGGTAAACCTGATTTAGCATCAGTTATTATAAACCCTGCCTTTTGGAGTGGCGCAGTCATTGCTCCTCTAATTGATATGTGACTTGTGTCTTAAAAACAATCTAAGCCATGCTCAGTATAATGCTTTAATGGATAGTGATTTATTAATGTGATTCTATTCTTTGGTCGATACTATGTGACCAATTTTAATTGGGTCGTTTGACCATTCCATCTGAGATAGATAAATATTCGATGCTTGCAAACTAGATGTAACATTTAGTTATTTCCTTTTTGGGCAGTTGTATGGACGAATTTACTTGACGATTCAGGGGAAAATTATCCTGTAATAAACAGGGAGGGAGATTCATACTCCTAACACTAAGAATTGCAGCATTCACTTGTTCACTAGCATTTGGATAATTTTTTTAACTTCGAGGGATCGATACTGATGCATTCATTTTTTTAAATACGTTATAAGCACATCCAATGTGATTTGCCTAATATGTAAAACGAATTTAGCCACTTTTCCATTACTGGAGCCTTTAGCTTAAAGTTGTTCATTGGGTCAGTGTTCGGTTGGAATCGTCTTAGCGTTCATTTACTACGATTTAGCCCAATCGAATCATGGATTACGTCTTACCATTGCATGCATATAATGACTTCCCTTGCGGTTATGGTGGACTTTTTACAGTTAAATACACAAGGCCACAAGTTGAACAGCTAATTTCGTTTCCTGCAGCGTTCATGCTTTCTTTCTCAAAATAAGTAGAAAGTCACGCTTTCACCCATTTTAGCTGCTGATCAAATTTGATTTTCTACTCTCAAATTTTGGTACTTTAAGTTATCAAAAGTAAAGTAGGTTTTCATCATTTTTAGTGCTTTATCGACGGGTTTTCCTGTAAGGTGGTAAAATGTGTCTATGTGGCAAACAGTAGTACTGGCAACTAAAGTTCTAAAGTAGAACTTATTCAGACGGTGTGTAAGTTATGCTTCATGCATTGAACGACAGTTGATTCATTACGAACTCAATACGGCCAGCCGATCCCCTCGTAATTGGACTTAGGCTTGCGACATCAATAGTGAGGCGGACCTCCAAACTGCAAATTGGATAATAGTGGTGTAGGTACATTATGTTAAAGTAAGCACTGACCATCATATGTTCTTTTGAAGGCTGTGAACACTTTTATGCTAATGTGGTTAATATTTTGCCATTCGAGTTTTCTGCACGGCTATTCTTGATCTCTAATGTCTTGGCGTATCACAGTAATAAGTTTGAAACCACTTTTTTAGGCAATTTCCGGTATTGATGCGCCTAACTTGGAAGGGATGATATGGTAATGAACCAGTTCGAATTACATTAGGTTCAGTTATTTTACAGTAGCATCATTTGACCTGGTTCATAGCGGTATTCGATAGTTTTTTGCATGGCAGTGCACTAGTGCCATTAATAAAATGTGAGTTGATCTAGACGACTTGAGTACACAGAAAAAAACGGTTTTAATGTAAGATGCTTTGTAAGTAACATTGAATGTAGTCGTCGACTGGAAGATGCAGCAGTTTGGAGCTAGAACAGATTACTTAAGTTGACAGGCGTCAAATTCCCATCTTAGTAGTTCCAGGGGCAGTTATGGAGTTACCCATTCAAGACGGCGCAGAGGTCACCGTGGCTACTTATCCTCATACCTATGATCTTGAGAATACGGTGGGTTGGACACCAAGTTTTTGTTTTTTAAAGACGTATTTTGAACCTCAAAGTCCAAATTTTCATGTCCCACTAAATGTGGTGCAGTCCACGCCAAATTTGTACTGGCCATTTGATGAAATTGACACTCGTTCCCGACCGTCTCTATCTTCTCTCCGATGTGTGCGTTCTAGCAACCGCTGAGTCAGAACAAACCCCTGCCGACAATGGTAATTCCAACGTGGGCGAAGAATTTGGGTAAGAAAATGCTAACCGAAAATGTCACTTGTATTGTCGATTTTCTTTCTCTCTGGGCATCGAATTTGTACATCAGGGGTGAAAGTGTCAACGCTTGCTGACGATCTTGTGTCCATAATGTAGATTCAAAGCTCACTCATCACAACGCGATTGTCTGTACGTCTTTGGGGTGTTACTAGGGCTTTGTTGAGTACAAGCCACACAACTAGCCTTGAGTGCGAGCTATCTGCTAGCGAACCGAAGGCATTCAAAACCAAGTCGATTATCTGGAATGGAAACTTGCTAGAGGAAAGATTCCATCTTAAATCGGAGTCCAAAAAAGTCTTTTCAGTTGATTAACGAGGTTGGGTATTTGTTTCACATGGTTTTTAAATCGCCTAAGCACTGCTGGTATACCTACCGTTTATCAAGGCAGTTTCATTGTCAAATAATTTTCCCTCTGAGGACTGTATGGCTTCCAAAGCCCACTTTATTTCACCGATCTCTCTCTAATGAAACTATTCCACTTTCAACTTTTTCTTCGCTCAATTCGTGCTGGTTCTTTGTCGTGATCATATTTTTTGTACTCCTTACCACTCATTATTATCAACTTACCCCAGATTTCATCTAGTGCTTGATCTTTGAAAACGATATGCTAGAAGAATTATCCTTCTAAGAGACACGAGCTTTTCTCTCTTACTAAGTTTTGTTCACCATATTAGCTATGACACTCTGGGTTCAACTCAAGGTACCTTTAACTCCAAGCTACATGGTTTCATTTAAATTGTACATCTGCAGAATGAATTTTCTACTATTTCTTCTGAGTATTACTCACTGCTTCAGAATTCACTCAGTGATTTGCTTTTGAGTCACTTACCTTTTCTGAAAAAAAAATCACAGGGAGGTCAAAATCCTTCATAATTTTACGAACACGCTCCCATATTGAGATGGCGCATCGCTTAAATACATTGTAATATTTTAATCGAATAATAGGGATGTTGATGTGGAGAGGATCAAGCGTTTCAAGTCCGAACCAGATTCATCGAAGCGTAACGTAGGACCCGCCAAACAGCACAATCCAAATTCTGATAAAAACAAGTACACTACGCCTGGCGCTGTTAAGACAAATGAGAGACTTGATGGCGATCTCGTTACCCCCGCTCCTGCTAACACTATCAATAGGAAGCATCTGCAGCAGAAATCTGACCAAAATCGAAGCCAGGTAAGCAAATAACATGTACCATGCCCACACAATAGCACTTTCAACTAGGTATCTTGATCTTAAGCCAATATTTTTTTGATTTACAAATTTCAGCGCTTTGACATCAACCGACATCATCCGAACCCAGGAAATAGAAGGCTTCAGCCTCACGATAGAAACGACAATGTGAGTGCTACAACTCTAGAATCATTTAAATTTTGTGTCGAAATAATGACTACGGATTTCTTACCCCTCGCCGCAGCGCATGCACAATAACAACAACTCAGGTCTTTTAAGTTCGCGTCCTGCAGGTGGCATCATCACTCGTAACCTACAGTCGCCTCAGCAACAGGCAGCAAACACCTTCCTTCACCAGGCTCGTATGATGGCGTTCCTATCGTCACGGCAACCGGGGGTCCGCGTGGGGCCACAGCCACCACATCAGTGTGGTCTGATTGGATCTGGTCCGACGTCGGGTCAACAGTGGTCGATAATGGGGGGCCCACCTCGTCCTCCCCAATGTTGTGGTAGTGGAGGCACCTGCTGTCGTAATTGTGGAATGCAAAACCCTCCTGGTGTGCCGTACTGCAGAAGTTGCAGGGTGCCTATCCGTTGAAGTGAAATTTGCTCTCCCAGACTGTATCGCGTCCCCTTTTTATCTCTGAGTAAATTAACCGTGCATTTGCTGATCTGAGGCTATTATTCACGTAATCGTTGAAAATTTACTCAGTCTGCTATCAGTTTTGTGCATCCCAAAAGGCCAGAAATGTGATTTTTCGGCAAAAATGCATGGGGTGCCTCACTTCTGTCACAAACATCCAATCAAAATGTTTCCTTTATCACCACAATTATTCTGGGAACTGCTCTTGTGGACGAACTGCTCAACTTTGATTTTCAGCATTCTTCGAATGGACCTGCAAAGTATTTACCCTTAAATACTTGGGTAAGGCGACTCCTTGGACTTCTAAGTGCCTCAGTTGTATACACTTCGCACGGAGCTGTGCAAGTTCTGCTTCTCTAAAACGGGTCCCGTTTGCGCATGAATCATGCAACTTACGTTATCCTAGTGCAGTTGGAAATTTTTAAGACGCGCAAATAGGGGCAATGGCTCCAAATGGCCCTCAGGACCGAATCGGTGACCTAATGAGTAACCTTTAAGTGGGCGTTCTTACTGCCTTGACGCGGCTTAGGTCAAGTGTCTGAATGCCTTGGGAACGGCTGATCGCTGTCTCGATACCTCTAGTTGTAATGCACTTAAAAATAAGATTAGGGAATCAGGGCTGCAGTCTTACTCGGCATTCGGAGAGGCGGAGAACTTCTATCCTGCCTAATTGAGTTGCTATTCGGATCAGGCCGCGATCGGAGATGTGCTGACAGCCAGATAAGTTTATACTGGCTAGCCGAGGCAGATTTGCACACCGTTCCAACGCCTTAAAGGCACCAGTGAAGCGGTTTGTTGAAGTAAGCAATAGATTTAGATGTGGAGTGGTGTGGGGCTGTGTCCGGGCGGTTTTTTGCTCAATCGGATTACATGTGTGCGTCGTGCAGAAGTGGTTTGTGGCCTGTGCAGCTCCCAATGGGTACACTTTGATGGAATGATAGACACGTAGTAGACAAGGGTTAGGTAGCACTGATTCCAAAGCTACAGATTTCAAAGTTGTTTAACTAATATGAGGTCGCAAAATGAAATGCAGAACCAGTAATCGGGGATCTTACGAATTCGTGGCAAATTCACTAACTCAAACCCTAGAATGAAGAATCCCGGTGAGAGGGGCCTTTGTTTTATTTTTTGATTGTCCTTGAAAAGTGTCGATAAAGGTCCTGTCAAATGACACCACGAATAATTTGCCGAAAAAAAGAACTGAATTCATATGTCAAATCGTCTTGGTTTGACGAGATTGCCGTTGTGACACCTTTTAGATGGTTTAGAATCGTTGATGCTCTGTACTTTAATCGCACCGGTAAATACAGTTTCATCACTTAGCCCAAATGGGTGCCATGCCAAAGGTTTCAAAGCACTTTTACTTTCCAGTATCAAATCTTCGATTCTGTTATTGTCGGATGGAGTGAACTTGGGCGACTTGTACGAGGAGAACAATTATGTCCAACTGCAGAATTATACCTCAAAATGGCGGTTATTTTAGCCTCCACTTAGCTTTGGGTCGTTCAGCAATCCACTGTGCACAAAATGTTAAAAAATCGAAAACGAATGGTGCTAGACCGTTTCTCATACATAAAATGGAGATTTCAGCCCATTTTTTTTAGGCAAAATGCTTACCGTATCGCCTAGGCACGTTCTAGAAATGTTAATCCAACACAAATTTCTGCAATTTCTTACTCCAATCAAAGCCTCATCTGTTAGAGCGGAGCATCCCTCCAAACTTAGGTAGAACAAACTCGCCATTCTGAAACATGCGGACAAAAGTAATCTCCACTCACTTCTGTATAAGAGGCGATATTCCACTGTCTGTGAGCTTGTAGCAGTAAGCCAGGTAGAGTTCCTGTAGCCTACTGGCATAACTTGACCCGCATATCAGTGCAGCGCATCTGTCTGTTAGACGATAGCAGTGTGAGAGATTAAGGCATCTCAAATTCTCAAGTTTTACCAGTCGCCCAATTATTTGGTCTTCCACCTAATCACAAGTGTTAATAGCAAAAGCTTACGTTGGGACAGTTGACAACAACCAATTTTGTCAACTTTTCAGGGTACAAGCGTCTAAATCCAAAATCCATCAGCCAATTATCACCGTGTATGCAAAGGCTCTTCAGTTTACTACTCGAAATTTTGATGGTACCACCTTCGCTTGTGACTCGCTTCATCTGTAAATCATTCTTTTCAAAATAAGCTATTTGTTTTTGAATCACCGAGTGTTTTGTAGGTGTTGTGCTATGTCTGCATTCAAGACTTTCCAACGCAGTTCGCGAACCAATTGTCTGAAGTTTTGGATAATTTCAAGTACAAAATAAGCTCACCTCTAAAACCTTATCGTTTAGTTGGGGCAAATTATTCAAAATCCACCTTCGAATACCACCCATAGCTTGGGCAAAGGTGATCAAACCAAGCGACGTCACCTAGAGCTTGAAATGATATCAGGGATGAACATGGTACCCCTGAGCACCCAGAAAGGTTGACACATTGCAAGGAACAGACTAACTGGGATCCCTCAAAGAAACTTAGTCCGATGTCAGTAATGTATGTGCAATAAGCAAGTGAGAGCCAAACGAGATTGGTTGCGTTTCTTGATGATTTTTCTTAAGAAAAGGAAGTGGGGCCTACTGCGTTAGATTGCTGAGAGATTTATCCGATGTAGGGGTGCGGGAGAGGCCAAGTTTAATTAGTGTCGGACAGCCACAGAGGAGAGATCCGACAAATTCGTCCTAGGGGAGAAGTAGATCGCGTCGAAGTGAGTGCGACTTACAGTCACGTTGGAGCAATTGTCCAAATTCACTACTTGTAGATTGGCACACAGCGTGAGTGCTGCGAGTCCGGATGAAGTAAGCAAAGAACAATTGGCTAGATTAATTTTTCTGACTTTTTTCCTCCGCTGATGCAACAACTTTAGCATCAATGCATTGGTGGCGCTAAAGATGGAAACAAAAAAGATCACCACGGCATTGGGAACTCATGAACCAAATTTACTACAGAGTAAATGAAAAGTAGCCGCATAAGTTGATGAAAATTGTAATACGTTTTGGTTTTAAAGACACTTAAGGCTCTGCCTTTGTGCTTACGCTAGACGACATGGCCTTCAAGCCATCCTAGTAGATCCCCTTCCCCCCTCCAGCCCAATTCTTCGACGACAGTACACATTCTATCCTAGTCTTATGTCGTCTTACGTCTTTGGGAAAGACTCGGGGTGCTGAAAGAACCTCTTTCAAAATAATGCATATTAAGGTTAGAGGTCTAAACTCTTAAGTTCCTGTACTTACTTCACAACCGCGCAGTTTAATACCTACCATGCAATTCTTAAAAATGCAACTCGTTTGAAAAATTTTTGAAGATCTTCGATAATAAATCAGAGATGCAACTGGAGGAAAAACAGCCACACCTAAGTCTAATATCAGGACCTCTGGCTAAAGTAGATTTAGATGTGCCCACGAAATAACTCATGGACCTATAATTCAGACTTATTTGATGAAAAGCAAACGTTTTTCACAGGTAGTTGCTTTTCCTTCAGTTACCATGTATCCAATAAGAGATTACTGACGATAGGGTCACTAAAGTAATAGTTGCATAACTTCATTGAGCCAAATTCCAAATGATTATTTGTGGTTGAAGTGATTGAAAATAGTTTAAAGCGAAGATTACAATGGGAAAAATTTTAGAGAGGAAAGTTAGGAATCAAAATCAGGATTATAATAAGTAGTCACAGAAAGACAAAAATTACAAATGAGGAAGACAACTAGGCTTTCAGAGCTTTTTGACACACCAAAAAAAAACTAGTATCTCATTATTCCAACAAACTTTTGAATTCAGCTAATATCTACCATGAAAGCCAATTCAGTTCCTCAGATTCCCAGGTTTACTAACGCTCGCATTAACTCACCGATTGGGAATCTCAGAAAGGTCAAGGTCAACTGCGGCCGCATTAAGGTCGACAGCTACTTTCCAGGCTTGGTTCACCAGAGCACATCTCGCAAAATCAATGGGAGTCAAGTGGGAGAATATCTAAATAGAAAGTTTAGCGAACAGAAACCAAGTCGGTACCATCCTTTGAATGCGGTCTGGCAATTCAGTAAGCCAGTCTCTTTGGAACCGGCAGACACCTCTTGGTAAAATCTAGGATTGTTAAAGAAATAATCAGATGGCTGACAGCATCCGAAAAAGTGGTGGATACAGACAATTGTTTTATTCCTCGAGATAGGACATTTACTTGGGCTGCACCAAATACCGAAGCCTTTAACGACTGGAATGACATGCTCAAGCGAATATTCCTCTCCACCTCCTTCATCATGTCACAGAATGCTATGAAGAGAGATAAAGGTAAATTGATGTACAAAGAGAGCTCTTTAAATGCTTAAAAAAACTGTGTGCAGAACTGTAATGTAAAGAGTAAGCTTAATTAAGACAACACCTAAAATCTCTTTTGGAAATTGTTTCGGATTTAGATGCCTACATGAAATATGAAATATTGGGGAAAATTTTAAAATATAGCTTGGTCGGTTAGGTAATGTTTACCCAATAAAACTCCCTGAGATGGTCACAGATTTGCACTTAAACTTTGAAATACTGACCTCTAATATTTGTTTTTCGCCTTTGTACATAATCTCTCCACACAAATAGGAATTTTCCCATTGTTTTTCGCGCATAGCAAATCCGAGCTGTAAACACCCAATCATCTGTTGATTCAGTCTCCTTTGTGTCCTCGATCAAACCTTTCCACTTTCTTAAAACGAAGCGAATGTTATTTGCCAACCAACCGCGCAATTCGCCAACGCCCAGCTTTTTACCACTTACCTTAGACATTTTCTTTGGTCATTCCTCTTTGAGAATTCCCTTGCAATAGTCATTTTCCAGGGATCTACCGGTGGGCCGAGGTGATGGAGCTTTCGCACAGAAGAAAAATAATAAGGAATGCTGCTTAAATTCAATCAGTCAGTAAACTCTAAATTGAATGGGAAGATGGGGATAATTTCAATTATCTTTATCGACAGTAAATGATTTGCAATGAGCGTGTAGAAAGAGACGGTCGTTAAAAATACGCAGTTTTTGGGGTCTCGTTGGGTTCCTCAGACAAATATTTTTATTCTCAACATATGAAAGATTAACACAAATTAAAATAGGGTTTCCAAAGACTAAACAGTTAGTGAATGATTTCAGGGCAAGTTTACATCTACCTCTTTGAAATGCGAGATCAAAATCAGGTCACCTACCATGAAATCGCGATAGTCAAAGCGTCTCCAAGGTCCTGTAGTGAGGGGCCGAATTTGCTCGGGGATGAGAACATCACTGAATGTGGCTTGTAAAACGTGTGAAATTACATTACCTGCTCAGTTGAAGAAATGGAGCAGAAGAAAGAACTTTCAGACTGTCCTTTAGCCAATCTCGAGGCCTTGGTGGAAGCATAACACAGAGACCAGCTAATAGAGCCTTGAGGAAATTACCGTTCGACTTATAATGAATTGATTAAGTGTTTTATATTCAATAGCAAAAGTGGCAACTATCAACACAAAATGGTTTGCATAGCAGACGAACTACATTCAGAAGTAATTTTAACACTACCTAATCCATTCACCATCAGAGACGCATATGTGACTCCCAAATTTTTGAATCCGATTCCAATCTTACAAGGAGGTGACATACTTCTTGCTAGTTCGCACCAACTGGCTGCAAACAGATTTGGTGGATTTTAGACAATAAAGTGTATATATGACGTTTGTCGTCCGAGGAGAATAAGTGCAACCTTCTAATATTTAACCAAGTTAGTGTCGTATAACACCTTAACTAAGACCCCGAGAGCTGATAAGTAAAACGCATAATTCAAAGGCGGAATCTTAATTCAGTTCAATATCACTAAAATTCCATGTTGGATTTTACGCTTGGTATCAACACCAATTCACAAATCATTCTACAATTAGATTACCCAGCAACAAACTTCGCTACCTAACTCGACGGGTACAATTGCGGCAATTGTAAAAGGAGTAGGGATTCCGGCGACCCTTATGCTACAATGACAATTTCCCAGAAAACAGGTACATTAATGTTGACAATTAATAATTTGGAAATTGCATTCATTTGATACAAACTTATGAATACCGTCCTCAGCCTAAACCATAAACTACTGACTTACACTCAGGTAAATACGAAACTGCTGTTGAAATCGTCAACGTATTTAACTGTTTCATATGCTTTTGGTTAGAAACGATAAAAACTAGTGTAAGAAATTATCCATTTTGTAGATTACCTCAAAAATTTCCATAATATGATGTTGTTGGAAGTACTCTTCCAGAATCGCTTTCTCTTCATCTTTCAAATTTGCCAAGGGGTTAATTCTAGCCTAAGGGAGAGATTCAAACACATCAGTTTCCTAAGTACAGTCAAAAGCCTAATCAGATGACAACGTGGTCGACAGGATGTGAACGTCTGTGCCTCATGGGGGATTCAGTAAGACTATTCCCATACTGCAAGAAGTTCGACTTATGCAGCTTTGTGCCAATTAATGCTTTGGTAGCTTCGGTTACAGGATGACTTATAGATTGGTGAAAGTTAATACACAGAGGAATTAGATAAAATAGGGAATGATTTACACCTAAACCCGTTTTTTAGGTACGAAAGTGGGAACCTCGTAACTTTGAAAATGTTATTTTGGAGGCTCTAAATCTTGTAAATATACACCAATGCTAAAATATCAGCTGTATTCAAAATAATTGGCGAGTTAGTATGGTGGCCTTTATTCTCAAATTCACCTAAAACAGACTTTTACAGGAACTTAAATTAAAAGCAAAGCTGGCGGTGCGTATTCAGGGATTTTATGGCCAGTATTGATACGCGCGGACACAAGATGCGATTCCAACAGGAAATCAGTCTGATCATATCTACCTTAAAAGCCTAAAATCATTTTAAAATCCATCTAAGATTCTTAGAAATTCTTAACACAAAAACTTTAGGGCGTCAGTCCATGTGAATGGTAAATGATGTGCCGCGAATCATGTCACCCAGTGTCCTGATAAATTGTGGAGCAACCAATGCCCTATCAACTACCCGTTTCTGTAAAAGAGCACTAAATACCCTTCCTTACAGAGGAAAGTGGATACTAAAAACATTTGCGAAGGCGGTGTGTATTCCTAATGCCTGTCTTCAAACAAATCTATTCCTTCTTAGGGTTTTAATTTACACATCTGGAGTTTTACAACTTCGGGGTTTTTAATTTATGCAAATACCGGTGACCATACAATTCAAATACTTATATGAAATTGGAAACTTTCCGATATTTCCCAGTAGTAGTAAATAAGACCTATTAAAGTTAAGCAATTATCCCTTCAGAGCACTGATATTCATACCTACGTAGTATTTTTTCTGACTTGAAAATTTGCTATGCTTATGCAAAAACAGCCGGAATCCGGGATCTACATCAATGTTTTTGAGCAACATTTCTCACATTCGTCAAAAAGATGGAATTGCCTCAAGCAGGACACACAGTGATGGAATGCGAACGTTGGCAGCTGTTTGCAGTGGTGTAGTGCAGTGGACAGCAGTAGAGTAAGACAAAAAAGGGGAGATACAAGAGATTTATTAAATTAATTTTTGTCATTTATTTTGGATGGACCGGACGCGGCATTTTGTTGACGAGGAAGGACTCGACCTGCTCGAATACCGTTTCCTTCTCTCTGTCCGCGTTCACGTTAAGCACCCGAGGGCCATAATACTCGACAAGTTCGTCACGGTGAGCAGCGTGGCGGGTCAACTTGAGGCTCACTTCACATTCTGCCATGCCCGGCGGGCGCCCCACCCGGCCCGCTACGCGTTCCAGCATGGGTACTGGCGGCTCGGGTGGCGGCGCAAGGCAGAGGTCGTAACGTGCGCCCGTCACCACATCCACCCGGCGCACGTTTAGACGTGCTGCAGCGTCATTGTGTCCGATGTTAAGGAGGAGGACCCGATTTGGTGCAAGGTCCACCTCGTCCAGCATTTGTGCTTGCAGACGCGTTCGCGGAAAACCGAAGAGCACCCACCCTTTCAGGGTACAGTCGAGCTCCGACAGACGCGCTTGTAACAGTTTGATCACCATCTCATCGGGAACTGGTTGAGTAGACGACAAAGGGATGTAAATCTCCCCCATTTATTTGCTAACAAATAGCGGTGTTTTACCTAAGTGAGGTATTTAAGTAACACAAAGAGCTACTGAGAAAATCCGGTACTATAAGAAGGATAGAATCACCAAATTAAAGGCCATATAAGCTTCGGAACTCTAATATATTCATCCTTCCTTTACATCAGGTGTATTGCCCCCACCCCCAAATTTCACTATTTCATTAATAAGGTGCTGATGGGGACATCTCTGCCTTCTACTCATCTTGCCATAGATTATCATATTTGCTACTTATTTTTTTGAGTAGCAATTAAAGCACCTTGCTAGTCAACGTCTGGCAAACCTTACACTGCTATTAACTATGAAAAGTGATTTGGCAGAGGTAGGTAGATTTCTGTGTAAAAAAAAACATTGCTTGGACAAAAACAGAGATAATGAGCAATATTGACCTAAATAATTTTTGGAAAGGAATTCACAACGTGATAAGGAAACTTACATTCCAATTCATGAAGATGTAAATGTTAAAATTGGCAATAGAATCAACTTTTTAACTATTAGCACTTTCGATGACTATCAAAAAACGTTTGGTGAGAAAATCAACTGGAGAGGTAAGTGTGCTATAAAAATCGTTTAAATGATCGAAAATGGGCCAGATATTCAAAACAACTTCTAGTGTATCTTGTAAAATGGTCATATAAGCGAATCTCATGCCAAGGAAGGGAGTCAAAACATTTAATGAATTTGTAAAAGTACACTTTGATGGTAAAGTTAATGATCAAAACATCAGTTAATAAGAATTGATGCTATTTCGGAAAATACTGCAACACTTTGTGGCAGTATTTTCAACTAAACGTACGAAAACACCAACTTTGGAAGTAGATGGATTCACTCTAAAGTGCTTAATCAGGTTTCATAAAACTTGATCCATTTTGGCTAAAATTGTGACTTCCATTTTAAACCTGTTAACTCGGACCCACCATCTACGTGGACATTGAAGCATGTATTTTTGTTCAAATATACATTGATACAACATAGCGAAATCTTTGTTTTTACCTGAGCTATGAGCATCGACGTAGATTTTCATTGCAGTGCCAAGTTTTGTCTCCCTTATAACTTCCCTACGAATAAGAGTACCACAATGCACAGGTATGAGTTCGTAGCGTTCGGCCAATTTATCGGCGACGGTTTTGCGACCCGAACCCGAGAAGCCAAGAAGGAGTACGCGCGGCGTCCACATGGCTGGGTTGCGGGCTGGCCGAGAAAGATGGCAGATGGCCTGAGAGTAGAGGTCGGACAGCGGCTGGTCCCCCCGCAAGTTCACGATGATATCTGTGTACATTTGGCCGATTGCAATGAAGTGATGTCTAAACTCTGCAATGCGACAGTCTATGTCGGAAGCATCGTCTGCTGGAACCAGACGACTCTCAACTTCGGGGTCCGATGGAGGGTTGTAGAGCTTATGGTATGGTTCTGCAAAGCGATGCGTCAACAATGCATCCTATTAAAAACAGCTCTTGCAAGGTCATCAAAAAAGACACAACAAATACTACAGTAAAGGTTTTAGTACTATTTTTCTTTTAACTTTTTTGACCCTAAAGTACCAAATGTCTATAATTGTGGTAAAATAAAGGTTTACTGCGACTTCTTACTTTGATTCAGTTGTACACTACTTTACAGGACTGAAACGATGTCCCGGCATTATGAAGCATAGCTCTCATAAAACAAAAAAGCCTCCAGTTTTTGCAATGATGTCTTAATTAGTTGATATTTTGGACGCGCCGCAATCCGTTGCTGGAGAAAAAACGATTACAGGACTCCAAATAACGAAGCTAAATGCACGTCAAACATTCGTACAGGCTGAGAGGGCCTAATAATAATCAATAATAGCCAAAAATTAAACCAGAGGAGCATACCTTTAGTGAGTCTATCAATGACTTTTCCAGATACTCGACTCCTAAGTACATTGTCTGAAGCATTAAGGACGACTAGTGAAACAATTACAAGGAAATTTATGGCATTTACTAATTTTTTCTGGAAATATTCCGAAGATTTGTAGAGCCTTTCCTTCCTCCTCAGTCATCGGGAAACCAGTTAACACATAACCCATTGTTTTACAATCTTTCTCCTCAATTCGTTTTCTTAAATAATCGGCGTAGAAAATTGCACCTTCGTTATTCTGTCTGATGAGATTATCTTCGGCGGCCTGTCGCAGAGCTCTCACAGGTATGTGAACGCAGTTTAGTTTACGAGCCACATGTCTTCCCAGTGTGTGCTTGCCAACACAGGGCGGCCCAAGTATAAAAATGGATGGGCCTACGCCTTGTAAAAGTCAAAGCAAGAGTTTACTATTAAGTGACTCAGATTTAAGTACATCAATAAGAAATGTTATGGGATCTGGCGGTCTCCATATAATAAGACGCTTCAAGAGTTCCTTCAAAATAAGTTAGTTCCAATTAACCAAACCTTTTGTATTTCAAATATCGAATGCTTGTTTACGTAATCAACAAACTGTGGTGGAATGCGAATAGGTCTTTCTAGTCTATCCATTTCAAAGTGGTTGGCATCGTCACCCTGACGACGGAAATTGAAACAATCACCGCCAATCCTAGTACTAATTCCTACATGACATTAAAGAGCAAAATAACTTAGACAAGATCTTGTACCGCTAACTGCTTTCTAATTTCTATAACTTTGGTTTACACAGAAAAGGAAATTTTTATGTCCTTTAAGTCTTGACTTGGAGTACAGTATGTAGCGTGACTCGACTAGCAAAGCATCAAAATTTGCCTTAAATTAATGTGGATCAAGTTTACTTATATCATTTGTTTATGGTGAGAGCAGGGGGAATTAATTAATTTAATTTGCACCCCAGTTGGATTAATATAAAGGTCTAAATATAGACTTGTTGTACGAGTATTGAAATATTCACTTGAATGCCACAATATATTAACTAGAAGTGTTAACTGAAATGTCACAATAAATTTGGCACTAGTATTCTCAGGCCTTTCAGATTCTTCAGATAAATATTTTATACTGATACATCAAAGAAAATGTCAATGGTGAAAGCTAGAGAAATTTAAGTTTAAGAGTTTGGTTAAAGTTGTCTGCTGCGTTTTTTTACTTACCAAAAAATGTTTTCTCTACCCTGTTTTAGTTGAAAGCGCAAAAGCACAAGTGCAAACAATGAGGAGCTCGATACTTGCTCATCGGCATTCCGTAATCTGGTAGCGATACGTATTATGGTACATAACTTTGCAGCTCACTTTAATACTACCCATAAAATCCATACACAGCGTAATGAATGCAGGACAGACCGGAAATTATTCAACCCTTTTGCAATAAATGAAATTAACTAGACTACGTGAAATAAGAGAGCAATGAAACTCCTTTTTATAAAATGAATAAGAGTTGGGCCTTACATTACCGATGTATTTTGCCAACAATTTTAGACGTTATTAAATTAAATGCTTAGCATATTAATTTTTAGCTTAGGACGCAAAATTCTAGTCGAGTTTCTGGTGGTTAAATTTGCTGGCATTTTGCAATCCTGACAAGAAGTTGACCATATATCTAAAAGACCATTTATCCATACAAATGGATTCCCGCTATTTAGTGCAAAGTATTCTACATGTACTGAAATTGATCATCACACGGTACACAAAAAGTCCTCTAAAAGTTGTAAAATAAGTGCTTTTCCGACAATGTACTCACACATTACAACGGCATGAATGTAGCGTCTTGAGACTTCCTTGAAGATGAAAGAGGGCATAATACTTGTTAAGTATGCGATTTTAGTATTCATCTTGATTTGAATAATTTTCTAGTAAACTAGCCAATTAAATGAGGGGATACTCAAGTTGACGCATCTTAAACCGGTACCAGTAAACATCTTAGCGAGAAATTGAGTTAATGAAAAGATTTTGATAAAACATTTTGTTCGACATTAAAGAAATTTGAGAAATTTGCTGAAAGAATGGGATGCCTTTTGCCTGTTAAATTACCTCACACGGTTTGGTGGACAAGATAGACTGTTGGAAAGCCTAAATTTTTAAGTCTGGGATTTTTAAACTGCCAACATATTTCAATATAAACCTGTCAATTTAAGCAAATTTGAGGCGAGCTCTTGCATTCCCTAAATTGGGATTTTCCCCTGAAGGATTTATAAAAGTGGCTTTAGCCGTCCCGTGGACACTACAACTTAAATTCCTACTTTAAGAGATCCGACTAAGCAATGTACGAACTCTACTATAGGGTTTTTTCAAATTCAAAAGTGCATTCATCCACCATTACCATTGGGCTTTAAAATCAAGTGTGAAAATTTTAATAAACTCCTTGGCGCAACGGATATCCTAATTTGTGAAACAATTTCTTCCTTGTTTTTCGGAATTAAATATGCTAAAACTAGAATTTTTTAATGTGATGGTTTCAGAAACCAGCATTTTAGAAACTTTGCAGTGACTCAAAAGAGCAAATTATCGGGTTTTGAATAATAATGATTTCTAAATACCCAAAAGCACGGGACTTAAAATAAGTAAAGAGAATTTCAGCAAAACTTACCCATTAAGACATTTTAGAGTATTGTAAGGCCATAAAAGAAGAGAAAAATTTGCAAATAATTACTTAGCATTCGAAATGGAAAGTAAAAACACAAATCTTATGTTTTGAGCATCAGATGGATTTATTGCAGAAAAAGCGTATGCTGCATTACTCCACCTGTTTCAAAAAATTTTGGATCCAGAAATGCGTGTTCATCTCACTTTTAAGCCAAAGGGGAGGGCATTCTAACCAGGAAACCCCCAAACCGTACCCCAGAATCAGTTCAGATGTTAATGGCGCTAACTAGGCACAAAGGGATTCAAGATGACTTGCAGGCGAAGACGGGCTAGCAAAAATTTTCACTGAAAGTTGTCGCCAGCGGCTAGCGTCTGAAAATGTTATACCGATTCAAGGGAGGAGATGAACTTTTGCTGCACGATCACCCAAAAAGTAGTGACCAAGTCACCAGTTGCTGCTTAGACTGACGCTGGGAAGCTAAGTATCTCATCATTAATTTTCGAAATAAAAAATTACGGTGGTGAAAAATGCTTATTTATGGCGAGATTATTTCCAGAGTAAACACTTGCTATTCTTCTGCTGTATTCTGATCCTGTATGATGATTTAAAAGCGCATCTTCTGAAGCAGTTCTGTTTTGAATCTGATGTCTTATTTTCTTGAGGTAATAATTTCAGCCGGTTCTTAGCGAGAATTGCCAAAGCGCTGGTATACCCAAATGCCTCATGCGTTGCTCAATCCCCTTTCACCATCACCAACATTGCGCCTCTCCCATACTTGGCATGAAATTAAGTTTTCTTGGCACGTACACCAGACCTTTTTTACTCACCTTGTTGGTTATTACACCTTTCAACTCCTAAATGCATTTCGTCTGTAAAGTTTCAAAGACAAGTTACACCCAGAAGAATACTTTATGTCACCTCCAAAAATTTTATTGCATTGTTACTGACATACTCTAACAGTGGAAAACTGATGTGTGCATGGATGGCTTAGCACCACCCACTTAAGGCAATAAAAACTATGACACTTCAAAGTAATGTTGGCGAAGGGTTTGGATATCTCTGCCCTATCATTTTTATAACTTGCAATGCTCCAGTAATCCAACAAAAAAATCACAAGTTATTCCACAAAAACAGAATTTTATGTCCTACTACTCTGGATTGCGGACAATGAAGAGTCTTTTCGAGGCGTTCAAAGCACTTTGCATGTAAATATTTATCGAATAACACAAATCCCGCGATCTATTTTTGCTTTTGTTTTCACTAGGGCATTTTAGATAGGTAGAAAATCTAGCTAAATACTCTCTTGAAATAGGGAAGCGATCACGTGAAATTTAGCGCTTTTTTATCAAAGTAGATACAACTTGTTTTCGGTAAGTAATTAGATAATGAACTATGGTTTAAATCCCTATGGAAAGGGATAATGCTAGTGCTTACATACATTTTGTTTATTGCACTACTCATTTAAACATTTTGTCTGCTCGTAATGTCTTATTTTATTCGTAAGTGAGTTGGTATATCAAAAATATAGGCAGACCTCATCCCGTATTAAAGAGCATTAAAAAAATGCCATAAAGCTTACTACTCTACTTATTTTAAAGCAGAATTAGAGTATGCACATTGGCCTTTAGTCAAATTTTGCCATGTTAAATCGTGAGTGTTGAAGAATCCGGAGAAATATTGCAGCACCCCGAGACTTCACCGAAGGTGAAAGAAGACAATACTCGGCTGCTATCATGTCCCGGAGGCCAGCCCACCCGGCGAAGGTACAATGGCGGAGCACCTGGACGGTTCCTTTACCAAAACCAAGGGTCAAGCAAGGAGCCAATGCACTATTTTATATTCTGCTTTTCAAACTTACATCCTAATCCGATATATAGAAAGGAGGAATTCAAAAGTGAACAATGAGGCACAAATTTTCTACAAGAGCTTCAAGCTTATTCCCAACAAAACAATGAGAACATAGTGTGTTACGGCCCACACATGGTAATACACATGCAATTAAGGAATGCGACATATCGGTCGTTAATTTTTCCCGAAAAATGACGTTTAATGCTGAAGATGCTTACATTGTAGGTATAAGGTATTCCAGGGTTTCAACCCTGCAACCATTTTTCACTTAAAATACCTAAACAATAACAAATGACAATATGGTGTAAAACTTGCACTGGAGGTAAATCTTTTCATAGGAACAGTCGGTAAGAACATTTTCAAACACTTGCGATTTTGAAGGGATAAGGCACTCTGGTACCTAGACGATTTTCCTCGGCGGATCAGCATTTCAGCAGCTAGGACGAAGTGAAGCTGGTCGTACCGACACATCGAGGCTGTCTGGGTATTAGTGAAGTGCTAAAGTAGATGTATAAATATAGTAGAAATTGCACCAAAAAATAAATGCAGTTTCTACACCTATTTTTTTCTTCTTTTATGGACCCAAAAGTTTTGATTTAGCTAAAGCGCACCTCATAAAAATGTAGGCCGACAAAAGCATCTAAATTTAAATACTTTACTGGCGTAAGGTGAACGAAACACGGATGTTAAGCTAAAGTCGAAACGCAGACACAACTACAATAAATATGTATTCTACATCAGGTGTACAATTTAATGCTATGATTCAATGTCTCTCCCCTGTGTTCATAATCTGCGCAGATGTTTTTGAACCGAACAATGGTTGTGGCTACACCATTCGTCCATGACAAATCACTACCAAGTTGTAAGCGCAAAAAATTAGAAAATTTTTAATTCATCCGTTATTAAAATGAAAGCAAACGCCTTCAGACTAAATTATGTTTGCTACTATCATTCGTATCAAGACTTCTTACAAATACACAGGCTGTGAAGTTATTTTATTTAGCAACACGTATAATTTGAGAACTAATTAATTCCACTGAAAGCGTTAAATGAGCTTTCCTCGGGACTTCAAAGAAGTTTTAAAAATTTGTGCCAACTGCGAACTGTGGGGCTGCAAGCGGCTATTCTGATGGGCGTTGTACGCG